CAGGAGTTTGAGACCACCCTGACCATCATGGTGAAACCCTGTCTCTACTAAAAATACAAAAATTAGCTGGGCATGGTGGCGGGCACCTGTAATCTCCCCTACTTGGGAGGCTGAGGCACGAGAATTGCTTGAACTCAGGAGGTAGAAGTTGCAGTGAGCTGAGATTGCACCATTGCACTCCAGCCTGGGTGACAGAGCAGGACTCCATCTCAAGTCCAAGCACTTTGGAAGGCTGAGGCGGTTGGATCACCTGAGGTCAGGAGTTTGAGATCAGTCTGGCCAAAATGGTGAAACCTTGTCTCTATTAAAAATACAAAAATAAGGCCGGGCGCGGGTGGCTCAAGCCTGTAATCCCAGCACTTTGGGAGGCCGAGGTGGTTGGGTCACAAGGTCAAGAGATCGAGACCAACCTTGGTCAACAAGGTAAAATCCCGTCTCTACTAAAAATACAAAAAATTAGCTGGGCATGGTGGTGCATGCCTGTAATCCCAGCTACTCAGGAGGCTGAGACAGGAGAATTGCCTGAACCCAGGAGGCGGAGGTTGCGGTGAGCCGAGATCATGCCATTGCACTCCAGCCTGGGTAACAAGAGCGAAACTCCGTCTCAAAAAAAAACAAACAAAACAAACAAACAAAAAAAACCAAAAATTAGCCGGATGTGGTGGCAGGCACCTGTAATCCCAGCTACTCAGGAGGCTGAGGCAGGAGAATTGCTTGAACCCAGGAGGTGGAGGTTGTGGTGAGCTGGGATTGCACCACTGCACTTCAGCCTGGCGACAGAGACTCCATTAAAAAAAAAAAAACGTCTGATACAGAGAACAATGAGATGTTTTAGAAATTTAGTTCAAAAGAAGCATTTTATTTTGGTAAAAGCCAAGAAGTGAAAGAAATATTTTTGCATTTTAAATTTAAAAAAAGAAGTAAATCATGTCCTTTGCTGCAACATGGATGGAGCTGGAGAACATAATCTTAATTAATATGATTTAATTCTTTTTTAAGGACATAATTTAATTCTTTTTTAAAATTTAAAATGCAAAATTTTTTAATTTTAAAAAAGAATTAGATCATGTCCTTTGCTGTAACATTGATGGAGCTGGAGAACGTAATCCTAAATTAATTAACATAGAAAACCAAATACCTAATGTTCTTATTTATAAGTGGGAGCTAATTTTTTTTTTTTTTTCAGACTGAGTCTTGCTGTGTCACCCAGGCTGGAGTGCAGTGGCGCAATCTTGGCTCACTGAAACCTCTGCCTCCCATTTTCAAGTGATTCTCTGTCTCAGCCTTCTGAGTAGCTGGGATTACAGGTGCCTGCCGCCATGCCAGGCTAATTTTTGTATTTTTAGTAGAGACGGGGTTTCACCATGTTGGTCAGGCATGTCTCAAACTCCTGACCTCATGATCCACCCCCCTTGGCTTCCTAAGTGCTGGGATTACAGATGTAAGCCGCCGCACCCGGCTGTGGGAACTAAATATTGAGCACATGTGGACATAAATATAGGCACAATAGGCACTGAAGACTACTAGAAGGGGGAGAGAGGGAGGGAGTGTGGGTTAAAAAGTTACCTACTGGGTTCTGTGCTCACCACCTGGGTGCAATATACCCAAGTAACAAACCTGCACCTGTACTCCCTGTACCTAAAATAAAAGTTGAACTTTAAAAAAAAGAAAAAAGGGCCAGGTGCAGTGGCTCATGCCTGTAATCCCAGCACATTGGGAGGTTGAGGTAGGCGGATCACCTGAGGCCAGGAGTTTGAGACCAACTTAGCCAATATGGTGAAACCCCATCTTGATTAAAAATACAAAAATTAGCTGGGCATGATGATGGGCATCTGTAATCCCAGCTACTTGAGAGGCTGAGACAGGAGAATTGCTTGAACCCGGGAGGCAGAGGTTGCAGTGAGCTGAGATCACGTCATTGCACTCCAGCCTGGGTGACAGAGAGACTCCATCTAAAAAAAAATGAAAGAAAATGTGCTCTGGCCGGGCGCGGTGGCTCAAGCCTATAATCCCAGTACTTTGGGAGGCCGAGGCGGGTGGATCACGAGGTCAAGAGATTGAGACCAACCTGGTCAACATGGTGAAACCCCGTCTCTACTAAAAATACAAAAATTAGCTGGGCATGGTGGCGCGTGCCTGTAATCCCAGCTACTCAGGAGGCTGAGGCAGGAGAATTGCCTGAACCCAGGAGGCGGAGGTTGCGGTGAGCCGAGATCGCGCCATTGCACTCCAGGCTGGGTAACAAGAGTGAAACTCCGTCTCAAAAAAAAAAAAAGAAAAGAAAGAAAATGTGCTCTTATGCAAGTGAGAAATGTTCTGAAAAAAAGAAAAAAAGAGAAATATTTTAAATGAAAAGTTTGAGCTTTTCCATAAAAACTTTTTAATGACTTCCCAGGTATAGTGGTTCACTGGAATTCATGCATGTAATTCCAGCACTTTAGGAGGCCTAGGCAGGAGGATTGCTTGAGGCTAGGATTTCAAGACCAACCTGGACAGCATAGCAAGATTTCATCTCTAATTAAACTAAACAATTTTTAAAAATGTAGCCAGGCATGATGGCACATGCCTGTAATCTCAGCTACTTGGGAGGCTGAGGTGGGAGGATTGTGAAAAGCCCAGGAGTTTCAGGCTGCAGTTACTATGAGCAGGTCACCGCACTCCATCCTAGGCAACAGAGCAAGACCCCATCTCAAAAAAAAAAGTTCTGGAGGCCAGGCACAGCAGCTCACACTTGTAATCCTAACACTTTGGGAGACTGAGGCAGGAGAATCACTTGAAGGTAGGCGTTTGAGGCCAGCCTGGGCAACATAGTGAGACTTTGTCTTTATAAAAATAAATAAATGAATAAATTAGCTGGGCATGGTGGTGCATGCTGGTTGTCCCGGCTTCTTGGAAAGCTGGGGTGGGAGGATCATGTGAACCGGGAGTTCGTGGTTACAGTGAGCTGTGATTGCACCACTACAATCCAGCCTGGGTGACAGAGTGAGACCCTGCCTTTAACTTAAAAAAAAAAAAAAAATCCTGGAAGGAGTGGGTGGTGGGTGGTATATAGACCCATCTGTGAACTGAAGCCAGATGATGGATATGTACATGAAAGTTCATTTTACTATTCTTTCTACTTTACATATGTTTGAAATTTTACAAAATAAAACTTAATCTGCAGAGAGACTGTATCAAGGTCTCTTGTTAATAGTCCAGTAGGGTGTTTCTTTTTTTTTTTTTTTTTTTTTGAGACGGAGTTTCGCTCTTGTTACCCAGGCTGGAGTGCAATGGCGCGATCTCGGCTCACCGCAACCTCTGCCTCCTGGGTTCAGGCAATTCTCCTGCCTCAGCCTCCTGAGTAGCTGGGATTACAGGCACACGCCACCATGCCCAGCTAATTTTTTTGTATTTTTAGTAGAGACGGAGTTTCACCATGTTGACCAATTCTCCTGCCTCAGCCTCCCAAAGTGCTGGGATTACAGGCTTGAGCCACCGCGCCCAGCCAGTAGGGTGTTTCTTTCTTTCTTTCTTTTTTTTTTTGAAATGAAGTCTCACGCCCAGGCTGGAGTGCAGTGGTGCAATCTCAGCTCACCTTGACCTCTGCCTCCCGGGTCCAAGCAGTTATCCAACCTCAGCCTTCAGAGTAGCTGGGACCACAGGCACGTGCCACCACGCCCAGCTAACTTTTTGTATTTTTAGTAGAGGCGGTGTTTCATGGTGTTAGCCAGGATGGTCTCGATTTCCTGACCTCGTGATCTGCCAGCCTCAGCCTCCCAAAGTGCTGGGATTACAGGTGTGAGTCACCTTGCCTGGCCCCTCTTTTTTTTTTTTTTTTTTTTTTTTTTTTTTTTTGAGACAGTTTCACTCTTGTTGCCCAGGCTGGAGTGCAGTGGCACAATCTCAGCTCACCGCAACCTCTGTCTGCGGGTTCAAGTGATACTCCTGCCTCAGCCTCCCAAGTAGCTGGGATTACAGGTATGAGCCACCACGCCCAGCTAATTTTGTATTTTTAGTAGAGACCAGATTTCTCCATGTTGGTCAGGCTGCTCTCGAACTCTCGACCTCAGGTGATCGGCCCACCTCGGCCTCCCAAAGTTCTGGGATTACAAGCATGAGCCACCATGCCTGGGCTTTTTATTTTTTATTTATTTTTGGAAGCGGAGTTTTGCTCTTGTTGCCCGGGTTGGAGTGCAATGGCACCATCTCCAGCTAGGCTCACTGCAACATCTGTCTCCCAGTTCAAGCAATTCTCCTGCCTTAGCCTCCTACTTACATCTCCTGTAACTGGGATTACAGGCACCTGCCAACAGGCCCGGCTGGTTTTTGTGTTTTTAGTAGAGATGGGGTTTCACCATGCTGGCCAGGCTGGTCTTGAACTCTTGGCATCAGACGATCTGCTTGCCTTGGCCTCAGATGATCTGCTTGCCTTGGCCTCCCAAAGTGCTGGGATTACAGGTATGGGCCACTGCGCCTGGCCTTGAATAGGTATCATATGTTCCCAATAGAATGTACAAGCAGTAGTAAAGGGGATTTGGTGAAAATTAAATTGCCTTCTTTACCTCCCACCCCATTTTCCAGCTCCCAATTCTCCCTAGAGGCAACTCTCCTATCCAGTTTTTTGTACTTTTCCAGAGAAATTATATACACCTAGAGAGCCTATGTGGCTACTATCCTCTTTCCCCTCTTTTTTTCATAAACGGTGGCATCCCATAATACAGTTCTGAATGTCTCTCTGGTTTAAAAGCATATATTACAAGGCATCTATATCTGGAGACATTCAGCTCTGCACACAGATAAGCCTTAAACTTGAAGAGACCGTGTGGTATTCGGTTGCCCCATAGCACAACGTGCTGTGTCTGTCCCCTATTAATGGACATGGGTTGTTTCCAAACATTTGCACTTGGTAACAGTGAATGCCAAAGCAAACATCCTGGTAACTCAGCCTTTCATGCCTGTAGGGTAGCAGATCTCCTTTCGATGCTCCTAATTGTCGGAGGTAACCTTAAGGGGCGTGTATTTTGCTGTTGGTTCTGTGGATGACAGGTGACAAAACCGGGTGAGTCAGGCTATGAAATAGCTAATGAATTTGCCAAGCCAAACGTGAGGTTCTGGGCTGTCTTAAGTCAAGGCTGAATTCCTCATACCACGCTGGGGCTGGGGCCAGAGGCGGGTGGTAGCAGCTCTTCTTGGGCATAACCTTTCTTCTGTGTTGGGCAAGAAAGCAAGGCATGAATGTGTCCTTCTACCTGGCAAGTTCCCTCTTCACCCCTTGGCAGCACTGGGGGAGTGAGGACAGGAGGCTTCTCCCACGTGAGCCCTGGGGCTGTGCTTTTGGCAAGAGAGGACTGGTATCCAGGACTGGGAAGGGGATGAACATCTCCCCAATCCCCAGGCTACAGGAAAACATTAAAGAGGAATTTTCTATGACAGGTCATGGCTGGACATAGTTGTTCATGCCTGTGATTCCAGCACTTTGGGAGGCTGAAGTGGGTGGATCACCTGAGGTCAGGAGTTTGAGACCAGTCTGACCAACATGGTGAAACCCCATCTCTACTAAAAATACAAAAATTAGCTGGGCATGGTGGCACACACCTGTAGTTCCAGTTACTTGGGAGGCTGAGGCAGGAGAATCGCTTGAACCCAGGAGGCGGAGGTTGCAGTGAGCTGAGTTCGCACCACTGTACTCCAGCCTGGCAACAGAGTAAGACTCTGCCTGAAAAATAAATAAATAAATAAATAAATAAATAAAGGGCAGAGGAGGCTAGTGAAGTCCACGCCTTCCACCAGTGCTAAGCCCAGAGCTGGGTTTGGGGTGGTAAGGAGAGGAGTCAGGATAGTTTAGTCATATACCACCCCTCCCCCTGCCCCATCCCCAGCTGACCTCTGAGCACCCGAGTTGTGTTTACCACCCTCTCATCCTGGGTTACCCAGGGCAGCCTCCCTGATGGGTGGCAAGAAGTGGGTGATAACATGCACCATGCCCCTCCACCACCCAAGGGCAGTGAAGACCTTAGAGGGATGAGGTAACAGCTGTGATGTGGGGAGACAGACACCCTGATATATATACCCCAGGCCTGTGAGTCTTTAGGGGTTGAATTTTTGTCTGAAAGCGATATGGCACCTATAGGAGGTCAGGGACAGGCCTTCTGTTTCTTGGGAGGCCCTACCCCACCCCTTAGTTCCTCATTCCATTCTCAGGAATTGTTTGTGCAATGGATGGACAAGGATAGGAGGTTCAGGTCTAAGGCAGTGTCTGGGACTGCAGGGTGGCCTCTGAGGCCAAGGGCCCTGGAGGAGTCTGAGCATGGGGAGGAGCCCCCTGGGGCGAGGCATAACCCTTTCTGAGGCTCTAGGGGTGATGTATGTGGTGGAGGTTCCTCAAGATCACAGTTGGGCAATCACTTCAAAGTCAGTAGGCAGTGCCTGCTAGGATGGGGGATGGTGTGTGTACCCAGGAACCTAGCAGAGGTCTTTGTGTGGAAGTGGGTGGGTCCGACCCAATGTAAATTTTTTATTTTATTTTATTTTATTTTTTTGAGACGGAGTTTCGCTCTTGTTACCCAGGCTGGAGTGCAATGGCGCGATCTCGGCTCACTGCAACCTCCGCCTCCTGGGTTCAGGCAATTCTCCTGCCTCAGCCTCCTAAGAGTAGCTGGGATTACAGGCACACGCCACCATGCCCAGCTAATGTTTTGTATTTTTAGTAGAGACGGGGTTTCACCATGTTGACCAGGATGGGCTAGATCTCTTGACCTTGTGATCCACCCGCCTCGGCCTCCCAAAGTGCTGGGATTACAGGCTTGAGCCACCGTGCCTGGCTTAAATATTTTTATTAAAAAAGAAATGGAGAGCCGGGCGCGGTGGCTCAAGCCTGTAATCCCAGCACTTTGGGAGGCTGAGGCGGGTGGATCACGAGGTCAAGAGATCGAGATCATCCCGGTCAACATAGTGAAACCCCGTCTCAACTAAAAATACAAAAAATTAGCTGGGCATGGTGGCACGTGCCTGTAATCCCAGCCACTCAGGAGGCTGAGGCAGGAGAATTGCCTGAACCCAGGAGGCAGAGGTTGCAGTGAGCCGAGATCGAGCCATTGCACTCCAGCCTGGGTAACAAGAGCGAAACTCCGTCTCAAAAAAAAAAACAAAAACAAAAAAACAAAAAAACAAAACAAAAAAAAGAAATGGAGAGCCGGGCGTGGTGGCTCAAGCCTGTAATCCCAGCACTTTGGGAGGCCGAGGCGGGTGGATCATGAGGTCAACAGATCGAGACCAACCTGGTCAACATGGTGAAACCCCGTCTCTACTAAAAATACAAAACATTAGCTGGGCATGGTGGCACGTGCCTGTAATCCCAGCTACTCAGGAGGCTGAGGCAGGAGAATTGCCTGAACCCAGGAGGCGGAGGTTGCGGTGAGCCGAGATCGCGCCATTGCACTCCAGCCTGGGTAACAAGAGCGAAACTCCGTCTCAAAAAGAAAAAGAAATGGATGAGAAACCAAAGCCAATTCTGTTGTTGACCTGAAAGATGCTATTTACTTGGGGTAGAAATAGGACGGGGGAAGGCGCTGGCTTTGACCTTACTTGTATAACTCATTGTTTCAACAAAAACTCCTGGATCCTTCCTCTGGGGAGCTTGGGACAAGAGCACAAGTAACTAGAAGGTGGGAAGTGGCGTGGATGGGTCTTGTGGGAGTCTGGAAGATGAGGGATTTGAGAAGGATGGAGAAGAAGGTGTTACAGGAGAGGGGGTGCCAAGAGGAAAGAGCCTGGGGGAGAGAGGGCTTGGAGATGCAAGGGGCTGGGGTAGATTTCAGGGAAGTGCAAAGAGCTCCCAGCAGTCACTGAAGAGAAGATGTGAGGAACAGCCACTACCACTTGGTGGCTACGAGTGTGGACCCGGGAGCCATGCTGCCTGGGTTTGAATCCCAGCTCTGCTGCTTAGTACCTGTATGAACCTGGGGCAGCTCACTTAACCTTTCTGAGCCTCAGTTCCCTCACCTGTAAAGTGGGAGTAACAACAGAACCGTGTCATAAGCTTGTTGTGAGGATTAAGTGAGCACCTACATTTAAGACTTAAAAGTAGTGTCTGGCGCTATGTCCTGCTAATATCAAGTCTTTTTCCCTCTGAAGCAGACCCGGAGACGAGGATTCCAGAACAGACAGTGTATTTTGGAGGTGATTGCAGGAATCATGGGTAGTGGAGTGTGATAGAGAAGGAAGCCAGTCAATGAACGGTGTGTTATCGGGCACATTTACCATTGTGGGTGAGTGGAAGTCAGTCTCACTCAGGAAACCTGGAGTGGTGCAGAGTTACCCCATGGTCCGGGGCGAGGGAGCCCGGTATTTATACCAATCAGTCGTTGGTTGAGGGCCTTTAATTCTCTGGCATTTCCAGCTTTCTGTGCACAGATAGTACAGGACACCAAAAACAATCCTTGGGTAGAGACAGAGACACTGCGGTTGGAAGTCAGTGGAGCACCCAGTGGTAAGGCCCAAGGGATGTGGTGGGGCGAGGACAGATCCACTACAAGCACCAAGAGGCTTGCAGAGCAATGCTGAGTCCCAGCTACAGTCACACATTAAGGCTCTGAACCAGGCCAGGTCAGCCTAGTTTTCCAGTTTGGGGGTTGACTTGCAGTTGCCACAGAAGGTTGAGGGGTGGCAGATCCTAGGATGCCAGCGAAGTCCATGTCCAAGTGGCCAGACTGGATAAGGAGTAGACTGGCCACCGCGGTGGGATCGGCCCATGCTATCTGCCACTTTTCCTCAGACATTTCCAGCTGTGAGAATAAGGCATCCTGAGAGGACATCACAGCATCACTTCTGACTTTTTTTTTTCTTTTTGGGATGGAGTCTCACTCTGTCACCCGGGCTTGAGTGCAGTGCTGTAATCTCGGCTCACTGCAACCTCCACCTCCTGGGTTCAAGTGATTCTCCTGCCTCAGCCTCCTGAGTAGCTGGGATTACAGGCACGTGCCACCACACTTGGCTAATTTACATATATATATATTTTTTAATAGAGACGAGTTTTATTTATTTATTTTTTTTGAGATGGACTTACGTGTCATTATACCTGGCTAACTTTTGTATTTTTAGTAGAGACAGGGTTTCTCCATGTTGGCCAAGCTGCATTTCTGAGTTTTTAACTGTGACTCGGGGGTTGGGTGTGGTGGTTCATGCCTGTAATCGCAGCACTTTGGGAGGCTGAGGCAGGTGGATCACCTGAGGTCAGGAGTTGGAGACCAGCCTGACCAACATGGTGAAACCCCATCTCTACTAAAAATACAAAAATTAGCCGGGCATGGTAGCATGTGCCTGTAATCCCAGGTACTCGGGAGTCTGAGGCAGGAGAATCCTTTGAACCCAAGAGGTGGAGGTTGCAGTGAGCTGAGATCGCACTGCTTCACTCCAGCCTGGGTGACAAAGCAAGACTCCATCTCAAAAAACCAAACCAAAACAAAAAAACCACACACACATAAACACAAAAACAAACAACAAACCGAAACCAATTCTGACGAGGGGATGAAGTGCAGAATTGGGGTACTGGTTTCTTCTTTTTGGAATTGTACCCCTGGAAGCAGATGTTAGAAACCTAGAATTAATAAGAAGAAATTTAGATGAGATGGAAGAAGCTGGCAGGAAAGGCAGGTCTGTTTTTTTTTTAAGAGATTATTCACCTCCTTCCTTCCACCTGCAGTGAAAACACGGTTACATTTGCCGGGCTTTTGAAATAGAGAAGCCAAGGTCACACTCATCCGGTGAAGTCTGCTGAAAATCTAATCGGGGGTGCCGAGGGGAATAAAGATCTGGCGTCTTCAGCTCCACAGTCACTCAGGTCATGGGCCTTCCACATGGGCCTCCTGGAGAGCTGACAGTGGACTATAACGAGTTTTTGCCCATGGAATATGAGTGGAAGAGTGGGGTGGGACGCACACTTGATGGAGAGCGTGTTTCAGCCACGCAGACAAGGACAATTTCCAAAAGCATGAACTGCAGATGGAAAGTACCTGGAGGCCTGAAGGAGGCTGATGAGCAGCTCCGCCAGCCAGGGCCACACATGCCGTCCGTCTTGTCTGCTTACCCTGAGGCTGTTATTTGGAAGTGCAGCAAAATTGTATCTTATGTAAGGGTCTATCTTACTATATTTTTGGGTCTCTTCTATCTTACTATATTTTGGGGTCTCTTCTATCTTATTGTATTTTAGGGTCTCTTCATTATAGAAGTTTAACTTGTATCCTAATAAACACTCCCCCCTGAGCATTGCCTTGGGCTCTCACATTGATTTCCGGCTAGGTATACCAGTTAGACATGGGTTGGCTCTGTTCTAACCAAGCTAGAATAACAGGGGCTTAAATGGTCTGAGCATCAGTGATCCATGTCAGTCCTATTCGCTCTGCAGGATTGGAGAGCAGGGCTTCTTTAATTTCGTTTCTTTATCATCATCCACATGTGACTTTCATTTTGTGATCTCGGTGGCTGTTCCAATGTCCACCATTCTGTCCACATTCCAGCCAGTGGGAAAGGGAGTAGAGAAATTGAGGAGTAAACACTTCTCCTTAGGAACATACTCTGTGGGGCCAGAAAACTTGGGAGTTATTTTTTTACTTAAGCAGGGAGAGAGAATGATTCTGCCACATTGTCCCAAGTTGATTTAACTCAACAAATATTGGGAGAAACTCATGAGAGAAAGGTCCTTTCTTTTGTTTTTATTTTTATTTTTATTTTTATTTTTATTTTTTTTGAGACGGAGTTTCGCTCTTGTTACCCAGGCTGGAGTGCAATGGCGCGATCTCGGCTCACCGCAACCTCCGCCTCCTGGGTTCAGGCAATTCTCCTGCCTCAGCCTCCGGAGTAGCTGGGATTACAGGCACGCGCCACCATGCCCAGCTAATTTTTTGCACCTTTAGTAGAGACGGGGTTTCACCATGTTGACCAGGATGGTCTCGATCTCTTGACCTCGTGATCCACCTGCCTCGGCCTCCCAAAGTGCTGGGATTACAGGCTTGAGCCACCGCGCCCGGCTGGTCCTTTCTTTTGAAGGCAGCTGTTACATATTAGTTTGATGGCTTTAAAAGGTACCCAAAGTTTAGTGACTTAAATGTTCAGTCAGGTTAGGCTTCATTATGTTCTGGTAAGCAACAACCTAGAAATTTTGTTGCCCTAGGAGGGCTTATGAAATATAGCCATCAATCTCTCCTATTATGATGTGCATGCCCTTTCACAATGTGACTTTGCCATCCTACTATCTAGAGGTAAATTATATGCCCCCAGCCTTAAATCTGGGCTGACCTTGTGATTTGCTTTGACCAATGGTGTTAGAAGTGTTAAGTGACAGGCTGGGCTTGGTGGCTCACGCCTGTAATCCTAACACTTTGGGAGGCCGAGGCTGGTGGATCACCTGAGGTCAGGAGTTCAAGACCATCCTGACCAACATAGTGAAATCCCGTCTCTAAAAAAAAAAAAAAGTGTTAAGTGGCTTTTGGGGATAGGCCTCGAGAGACCTTGCAGCTTATGTTTTGGATTCCTCAGAATATTGCCCGGAGACTGCCATGCTATGAGGGCTGGGGATAAAAGACCCTGGGGAGGAAGGGCCAGCTGTCCTACTGTTCGCTGAACTCAGCTGACTGCAGCTGCATGGAAGACCAGCAGAACTGTCTGTCCAATATGAAAAATAAAAAATAATTTCTAAATTTCCTACATATTGGGTAGTACTTTTTTCCTGCCTCTGTAGAAATGCAATGAATTAAAATAACAAAGTTTATCTTTTGGTCATGTTATTTATCCACTGAGTCAGCAGGGTCTTGTGCTTTTTAAATTTTTTTTCCCCTTTTTTGAGACAGAGTCTCCCTATGTCACCCAAGCTGGAGTGCAGTGGTGTGATCTTGGCTCACTGCAAACTTTGCCTCATGGGTTCAAGCAATTCTCCTGCGTCAGCCTCCCGAATAGCTGGAATTACAGGTGGGCATTACCATGCCCAGTTAATTTTTGTGTTTTTAGTGGAGACCGGGTTTCACCACGTTGGCCAGGCTGGTCTCCAACTCCTGACCTCAGGTTATTTGCCTGCGTCCGCCTCCCAAAGTGTTGGATTACAGGCGTGAGCCATTGCACCCGGCTGGTATTGTGTTTTTGATATCACCCAGGGATCTTGGCTGATGGAGCAGTCACCACCTCAAATGTTACCATACAGAGGGGAAGAGCAGGGTGAAGATTACATTGAGCTTCCATCAGGAAGTGATGCATATCGCTTGTACTCACATCTCATTGGCTAAAACAAGTGGCTGAGGAAATTCTATCCTACAATGTGAGTGAAAGAAGACAAAGCCACAGTGTTTGTTAACAATCCTAAAAACCCCCCACCCTTAAGATGGTTTATTACTCTCTTGTAACAATCTAAGTAGGTGAGCAGGGCTGGTATGACATCTGTGTCAGATACCCAGACTTCTCTGTCTATTTGCTCTGTCATCTCCAGATGTTGCCCTCATCTTCCTGGTGGAAGACGGATCTCCACTAGGTTTATATTCCAGCCCATGAGAAGAATAGGCACACCTCCTTTTTATTTTAGGGACATGGCTTAGAAATTACATCCATAAGCTCTACTAACATCTCATTGGCCAGAACTGTCACCCGGCTACCTAGCTGCAAGGGAAGCTAGGAAATATAGTCTTTAGCTGGGTGACTATGTGTCCCCCTAACCATCTCACTCTCTCTAGAGATGGGAGTTTCACCATATTGGCCAGGCTGGTGTCGAACTCCTGACCTCAGGTGGTCCACCCACTTCATCGTCCCAAAGTACTGGGATTACAGGTGTGAGCCTACGCACCCAGCCCTAACCATCTGTTACTGTGGAAGGAAGGAGAAGAGATACTTGAGGGGTAGGGGAGGCACTGGTAGCTCTGCCACAGCAGCCGCTCCGGAGTCCCCAACACCAGGGTGTTCTGGTCTTCATGCACTCAGCCCTATCCAAGGGGAGCCCCACTTTGTATACAGGTGTTTCTGAGGACTAATTTTTTTTTTCTTTTGGGAGGTAGTCTTGCTCTGTCCTCCAGGCTGGAGTGCAGTGGCACAATCTCAGATCATGCAACCTCCACCTTCTGGGTTCAAGTGATTCTCTGAGGACTCACTTGTAAACCAAAAGGGTTTTGCAAACTTAAATGATCACTTCAGAGAGGTTTCATCTTTATTTTTTATTGATGTTATTTATTTGTACCCTACACTGTTTAAAAAGGTATTGAAAAGACTTCAGGGGGTCAGGAAGACAAACACACTAGCTTCAAGTTTTTTTGCTTCCTGCATTTCATACAAGTGCAGGTTATGATTTAAAGGCAAATCCCAGCCCCCTAGAAACTTTTATTCCTTTGAGTAACCAACCGCAAATTTATTTACTTTACCAGTTGGGAATTTCATCTACTAGACTTTCCGTAAAAATATTGTAAACGTTTTTCCTGTCTCCAAAACTAAGTGTTGATTTCCTTTTTTACCCCTAGATTCTTTCTGGGGAAGGAGTGTAGGGAATAAAAGTATTGTCAATCTTCCTACTTATCAACAAGTTCTTAAAAAATTAGTTTCACATCTTTGGAAGTTTATGTTCAAGAAGACAACACTGTTCTGGGCTCTCAGGAAGTAAAACCCCCTTGGTAAAGCCCAAAAGAACGCTAAAACTACTTGAATAAAATGTTTTGCAATATCTTGGATGGTTTGTGGGTTTGTGTGCTTTAGACTATTCACACAAGAGCAAGGTGCATGAGTGCACGCACGCATGAGCGCAAATATGTTTGCCTGCGTGTTTGTGAGCAGTTGTGTATGCTGCACACGTGCACATGTGGGGTGGATGGAGCGTGGGGGCAGTACACAAAGCCTGTGAGGGAGATCTATTGCCTCAACAGATATATTAGCATCAGGGAGGCAGGGCAATGGTTTTACCCTTCAGCTCAGTCCCCAACCTGCTTATTTTTTCCCTAAGACCATCCCCCTTGCCACTCCCTGGTTTTCCTTCTCTGGCAGCAATGAAGCAGCTGCTGTGCCAGCTCTGGCTTTCGGGAAGTCAGATGACCTTTTCCCTCCCTCGGCTCTCTGCCTCTAGCTGCTCCTAGGGAGGACACCATGGACTCACTGATGGTTCTCCTTTGCCTGCTGTTCCTGTATCCAGGTAGGAGGCAGGGAAGGGGGAACGTCAGGGTCCTGTGGGAGAGGCTGGTGCTCCCGGCTTGAGTTCCATGTGTGAAACAGAGTCTTTTGCTTTCCGTTTCTCATCGGTGTCTTCCTTCTTTCCCCACTGCTGTCTCCCTGTCCCCATGCTTCCAGGCCCGGCAGACTCGGCTCCCTCCTGCCCTCAGAATGTGAATATCTCCGGTGGCACCTTCACCCTCAGCCACGGCTGGGCCCCTGGGAGCCTTCTCATCTACTCCTGCCCCCTGGGCCGGTACCCATCCCCATCAACACGGCTGTGCAAGAGCAGCGGACAGTGGCAGACCCCAGGAGCCACCCGGTCTCTGACTAAGGCAGTCTGCAAACGTGAGACTTGCTGTGGGCTTTGCTCAGGGTGCTCCACCAGGGGCCACCCCAGAACTTCTGTTTGGGAGTTGCTGGTGGGTGCGTGGGTGGGGGGTCTTATCCTGACTAGATGGCAAAGTTGGTTTTGCAGAGGGCTTTTCAAAATATCCAGAAAATGTTAATTGCCAGAAGCAAGGAACTGGGGACACGTTTTGTTGGAGACCGTGGGGTACTAAAGCCAGGGATGACTTTTTATGTACAATTGACTGCCTGGTAGTGACCATTCAGAATGGATGCAGAATGGTCCTGGAGTCCTCTGAACATCTGAGGATCCCAAGGAGGGTGGCTGGAGAGGCCATGATCATCAGGGGGCTGAGGGAAATGGCTATTTATCAATCAATTTGCTTAGATTCTGTGAGATTGGCAATATTCAATCAGTTGCCAAAAACAGCAATTTCACATGCTGGAACCTAATAGTTCAGTGTTTTGACAACCAGTTGACCATTCACATGCATTCTAGCATAAAATCACCTGCTTAACCCCCAGCCCAGGTATTCTCCATCCAGCCCTATATTCCCCACCCACTTTCTCTCTCTCCAGCTGTGCGCTGTCCAGCCCCTGTCTCCTTTGAGAATGGCATTTATACCCCACGGCTGGGGTCCTACCCCGTGGGTGGCAACGTGAGCTTCGAATGTGAGGATGGCTTCACATTGCGGGGCTCGCCTGTGCGACACTGTCGCCCCAACGGCATGTGGGATGGAGAAACGGCTGTGTGTGACAATGGGGGTGAGTGCTCTGGCCGATGGGCTATATGGGGGTTGGGGTCTCCCGGGGAAGCCTGGGACCCAATGTGCATCCAGGAAGCCTCTGTGGGGAGAGGGGTCTGCTGTCCAGTGTGCCATAATAGTATTCCTGGATTTTGGTAAATTGAGGTCTACAGGTCACACATGACAAGTCTGCAGGGGCCGGGCCCCAGGCAGCTGGTGCTAAGCTTCACATGGAGCATAGCACCTCCACACACTCTGCCCGGCTTCTCTAAGTGCCTGAAAGCAAGACTTTGTATTTAGGCCTCACAAATTATTGTAGGGAAGATATGCTGGGAGAGAGTCAAGTACTGTGTTTTTTTTTTTTTTTTTTTTTGAGACGGAGTTTTTCGCTCTTGTTACCCAGGCTGGAGTGCAATGGCGCGATCTTGGCTCACCGCAACCTCCGCCTACTGGGGTCAGGCAATTCTCCTGCCTCAGCCTCCCGAGTAGCTGGGATTACAGGCACGCGCCACCATGCCCAGCTAATTTTTTGTATTTTTAGTAGAGACGGGGTTTCACCATGTTGACCAGGATGGTCTCGATCTCTTGACCTCGTGATCCACCCGCCTCGGCCTCCCAAAGTGCTGGGATTACAGGCTTGAGCCACCGCGCCCGGCCAAGTACTGTGTTTTAATGCCTTGCCTTCAAAGCCAGGTTTGGGTTCCAAGCCCCACTCTGATGTTGACAGACTTTGGGAAGGTTATTTAACCTTTCTAGGCCTCGGTTTTCCTGTCTGTAAAACAGGAATACTGAGTGCTGACCTCATGGGATTGCCATCTGGATTAAATGAGTTGATACTAGTGAACATCTATAATGGCCCCTGGAAACTGATAAACGCCATGCACACTTTTGTTTTGTTTTTATTTTATTTTTTGAGACAGAGTTTCGTTCTTGTTGTCCAGGCTGGAGTGCAGTGGTGCGATCTCGGGTCACTGCAACCTCTGCCTCCCGGGTTCAAGCGATTCTCCTGCCTCAGCCTCCTGAGTAGCTGGGATCGTAGGCACACGCCACCATGCCTGGCTAATTTTGTATTTGCAGTAGAGATGGTGTTTCTCCATGTTGATCAGGCTGGTCTCAAACTTCCGACCTCAGGTGATCCACCCACTTCAGCCTCCCAAAGTGCTGGGAGTACAGGCATGAGCTGCTCAGTCTTGGTTTATTGATTTATTTATTTATTTGAGATGGAATCTTTCTCTGTTGCCCAGGCTGGAGTGCAGTGGCATGATCTTGGCTCACTGCAACCTCTGCCTCCCAGGTTTAAGCAATTCTGTCTCAGCCTCCCAAGTAGCTGGGACTATAGTCGCCCGCCACCACACTTGGCTAATTTTTGTATTTTTAGTAGAGATGGGGTTTCACCATGTTGGTCAGGCTGCTTTTGAACTCCTGACCTCAGGCAATCCACCCACTTCAGCCTCCCAAAGTGCTCTGATTATAGGTATGAGCCACTGCATTCAGCCTGTTTCTGTTTTTTTAGCAGTCTCGCTGTGTCTCCCAGGCTGGCTTCAAACTCTTGAGCTCAAGTGATCTTCCTACCTCAGCCTCCTGAGTGGCTGGGAATGCAGGCATGTGCCACCATGCCTGGCCATATGCACTTTTCTCATGGTTATTGCTGCCCCTGTGAATGGCGAGGGGCTCTGCTTGGCAGAAGTGGGGCTCCTAGGATTCCCTGGACCGCATTTGCCTGTGGGTTTGGGAGCTTCTTGGATCATGGTTCTCAGCACATCATACAGAAGCCACAGAGTCCGTAAGATGGCAGGACCACCTCTTCACCCAGTGGCCCAGACCATGGCTCCCCACTCATGCCCTTGAGTCTTTGCCAAATGGCCATTGATTCAGACGTGACTCTAACTTATTTTAAAATTGAGGCATAATTTACCTATTGTAAAATGTGCAAATCTTAAGTATTTAGCTCAATGATTTGTTACACATGCATCCACCCACGTAATCATCACCCAAGACAGAGAACGAGGCTCTCTCTTGTCCCCTCCCACAAGATAAAGGCTCTTCCGACTTCTGTCTCCATAGATTAGGTACCTTGTTCTTACACTTCCTGTAAATGGAATCATGCAGGATGTGGTCTGTTGCATCTGGCATCCCTTGTTCTATATTCTGCCTGTGAGATTTATCCATGTTGTTGTGTGTATCAGTAGTTTGTCCTTTTTTATTGCTGCGTAGTACTCCATCATACGAATATATTACAATTTATCCATTCCCCTGTTGATGGACATTTGGGTTATTTCCAGCTTGGGGCAGTTAGGAGTAAAGCTCTAGGAACATTCTTGCGTGTGACTGTGGTATATGTATGCACTTGCTTCTCTTCAGTAAATGATCTAAATGTGGAATTGTCACGTCACAAGCTGGCATATGTTTAGTTGCAGTAGAGGCTGGGAAGTTTCACCCACATACATGCCAGCAATGTAACAGAGCTCCAATCGCTCGGCATCATCTCCAGCATTGGAATTGTCTGTCGTTTCAGTGTTAGCCGTTTTGATGGGTGTGTAGGGGTGTCTCACTGTGGCTTATGAAATGCAGGTGTTCTCTGTGGGAGTGGAGGGACCATCAGCTGACTTCTTCCCTGGGGCTGTAGGGGCTCTGGGACAGACACGGGTGCCTCCCTGGTTTGGAACTGGGAAGCTTCTGCCAGCAAATGAGGCTGCTGAGGATGCAGAGCCTGATGGGAGGGGGCTGCTCACCTCTGCCTTCCTTTGTCCACTCGCAGCTGGCCACTGCCCCGACCCAGGCATTTCGCTGGGCGCGGTGCGAACGGGCTCCCGCTTTGGTCTTGGGGACAAGGTCACCTATCGCTGCTCCTCGAATCTTGTGCTCACGGGGTCTGCAGAGAGGGAGTGCCAAAGCAACGGGGTCTGGAGTGGGACAGAGCCCATCTGCCGCCGTGAGTAGTTGCTCTGCCCTCCTGAGACTCCTGGGCACCCCCAGCTGCTACCCCAGCTGACCCCTGTGTGGCTCTTCCTACAGAGCCCTACTCGTATGACTTCCCTGAGGATGTGGCCCCTGCCCTGGGCACTTCCTTTTCCCACCTGCTTGGGGCCACCAATCCCACCCAGAAGACGAAGGGTGAGTGTTTGAGGTGGGGTTTGAGGTTGCGCAGGGTGCTGGATCTGGGCAGGAGCAAGGGAGGGCATGAACTTCCTGGTGGCCAGGAGCCTTGGTGGGCTCAGCCACTGGAAGGGAGGGAGGCAGAGAAGCTGGACCCTCTTGGCAAGAGCGCAGGAAGGAGGTGCGGATCTGAATCTCCGCTTCCACATTTCTCCAGAAAACCTGGGCCGTAAAATCCAAATCCAGCGCTCTGGTCACCTGAACCTCTACCTGCTCCTGGATTCTTCGCAGAGTGTGTCGGAAAAGGACTTTCTCATCTTCAAGGAGAGTGCCTCCCTCATGGTGGACAGGGTCAGGAATCAGGAGCCTGCCTGCAGTGGAGGCCTTCCTGCGCTCACTGTCTCTCTCTCTGACTCCTTCCCTTCCTGAAAGTCCCACTCTCAGCCCACCTCCTCCAAGAAGTCTCCTCAGATGATACACATGCCATGTAGGAATCATGAATTCAATTTATACAATCATAATTTTTATTCCACATGCACTGTTGAGGCACTGTGCTGGGGGCTGGGGAACAGAGAAGATGGAAAGGCTCAGGTCTTACTTGCCAGGAATTCGTCCTTCAGAACAGTGATCTCCACAGAGAGATAGTGAGATAACCCTCCGGAGTGATCCAGAAAAATATGAGTGCCCCGTGGAATAATTTAAATCAGATTAATAATTTAACATTTAATAATTTCCTTTTAAAACGTCAACATTTTGTGTAGGCTTTATGGTGGTTTATGCCTGTAATCTCAGTACTTTGGGAGGTTGAGGCAGGTGGATTACTTCAGATCAGGAGTTCGAGACCAGCCTGATCAACATGGTGAAACCCCGTCTCTACTAAAAATTCAAAATTAGCCAGGCATGATGGTGCCTGCCAGTAATCCTAGCTACTTGGGAGGTTGAGGCAGGAGAATCGCTTGAATCCTGGAGATGGAGGTTGCAGTGAGCTGAGATTGTGCCATTGCACTCCAGCCTAGACAAGAGTGAAACTCTGTCTCAAAAAAGAAAAAAAAATAAATGAAATAAAATATGTGTGATAGAAGTTTGGAAGCCACTAGTTTAAATCCCTCACCAGCACTTTGCTTTGTAATTATGCTTTTCACAATACTTCATGTAATGTGATAGGTGGTTTTCCCTCCTAGCTACATTTTAAAGAGGACAGTTTCTGTGCTCTCTTGGGACTCAAAATTAAGTAACTCATTGCCCTGTGAGGCAGCAACATGCACCAGTTGGAGCAGGGACTGAGGGTCATGTGACATGTTCAGATCCCACTTCCACCTCCTCCTGGCGGTGTGATGGGGGACGGGGACAAGACAATATGCCTCAATTTCCTTATCCATAAAATAGGGGCCATGATGAGCCCTCACAGGGTTGATGAGAAGATTAAATGAGGAGAGAGGAGTCCGTCAAACAGAAGGACACTCAACAAAGTTCAACGAAGTTTACTTCCTTAGCTTCTTCTTTTTTGTTTTTGAGACGGAGTTTCACTCTTGTTACCCAGGCTGGAGTGCAATGGTGCAATCTCGGCTCACCTCAACCTCTGCCTCCTGGGTTCAGGCAATTCTCCTGCCTCAGCCTCCTGAGTAGCTGGGACTACAGGCACGTGCCACCATGCCCAGCTAATTTTTTGTATTTTTAGTAGAGATGGGGTTTCACCATGTTGACCAGGATGGTCTCGATCTCTTGACCTCGTGATCCACCTGCCTCGGCCTCCCAAAGTGCTGGGATTACAGGCTTGAGCCACCGCGCCTGGCCGCTTCTTCTTTTTTGAGATGGAATCTTACTCTGTCGCCCAGGCCGTAATGCAGTGGTACGATCTTGGGTCACCGCAACCTCTGACTCCTGGGTTCAAGTGATTCTCCTGCCTCAGCTTCCCGAGTAGCTGAGATTACAGGTGCCCGCCACCATGCCAGGCTAATTTTTATGTTTTTAGTAGAGATGGGGTTTTGCCATGTTAGCCAGGCTGGTCTTGAACTCCTGATCTCAGGTGATCAGGCTCCTGACCTCGTGAGCCTCTGTGCCTGGCCCCTAGCTTCTTCCTAACAGCTGTTTCCTAGTGTCTCCCCTGGCCCTTGCCTCTGTCGGTTCCAGTTCAGTTTCTCTGCCTCCTCCAGGGCCCTTTGCTGCTCTCTTACCATCTCCCCTTTGGCTTCAGGGCCCCTCACCCTGCCTCTCACTTGCCCCGCACAGATCTTCAGCTTTGAGATCAACGTGAGTGTCGCCATTATCACGTTTGCCTCAAAGCCCAAAGTCCTCATGTCTGTCCTGTACGACGCCTCCCGGGATGTGACTGAGGTGATCAGCAGTCTGGAAAATGCCAAGTACAAAGGTATGGGTGTCATCATATGATGGGAAAGGAGATGGACCCTCTCAGGGTCTGCAAACTAATTCTGGGAAAGTTAGAAAGAGAGTGAGGCCTCTTGGTGGCCCCTGAATCCCATGAGTCTGGGGTAGCTTCTGTGTCCAGGGTTATGTTGGGAGAGTCCAGCTGCCCCCAGCTCAAAGCTCATTCTAAGGTGCTTCAGGTTCAAACACACCGTTCAGGTCTTTAATTCCTTTCAGTTGCCAAAATCACATTGTCTGGTTTGCATGGCTCCACGCTGCCATCTCCCCATGGCACTAGCCACTCATATACCATGTGAAGCTGCCTGGCTGGCACTTAGTGAATTACTGAAGCCACTTAAGTTTTTGGAAGCCTCATCTTCGACTCTTGGGACTTTAGTGTGGCGTTGGATTGAAGTTATGCAGTAAACCTTTCTTTCTTTTTTGTGAGATGGTCTCACACTGTCACCCAGGCTGGAGTGCAGTGGCGCAACCTCTGCTTGCTGCAACCTCCTCCTCCCGGATTCAAGCGATTGTCCTACCTCAGCATCCTGAACAGCTGAGATGACAGGCAACTGTCACCATTCCTGGCTAATTTTTTGTATTTTTAGTAGAGACAGGGTTTCACTATGTTGGTCAGGCTGGTCTCAAACTCCTGACCTCATGATCCACCCACCTCGGCCTTCCAAAGGGCTGTGATTACAGGCGTGAGCCACCACGCCCGGCCCTACGTAATAAACATTTCTAAAGTGGAAAGGCTTTTAACGTTTGAACAAGCAATGATGCCAAATCTCTATCTGAATGGCAAAGGTCTGAGTTTATCAAAGCAATTGATAAATTGCATTTCCAGGCTGGGCACAGGGGCTCATGCCTATAATCCCAGCACTTCAGGAAGCTGAGGTAGGTGGATCACTTGAGGTCAGGAGACTAGCCTGGCCAACATGGTGAAACCCCTTCTCTACTAAAAATACAAAAAATTAGCTGGGCATGAGGGCAGGCACCTGTAATCCCAGCTACTGAGGAGGCCAAGGCACAAGAATCGCTTGAACCCAGGAGGTGGAGGTTGCAGTGAGCTGAGATCATGCCAATACACGCCAGCCTGGGTGGCAGAGTGAGAGTCTGTCTCAAAAAGATAAAAAATTTTAAAAAGTTGCATTTCCAGTGGTTGGGGGAATAGAGTGACCCCCTACCGCTAGGTGGTAGGTGGGAAGTTTCTGAGCGAGCCCTTCCTTTTGGCATATTCCAGATCATGAAAACGGAACTGGGACGAACACCTATGAGGCCCTGCACAGTGTCTATCTCATGATGAACAACCAAATGCGAATCCTTGGCATGGAAACGATGGCCTGGCAGGAAATCCGACATGCCATCATCCTCCTGACAGATGGTGGGTATTGTCATCTCTGAGTGGGTCTGGAATAGTGGAAGGGGCACCAATACGGGGTCAGAAGCCCTGCATTCTGATTCTCTCTCTGTCTGCCACTTTGGGCCCCAGTTTTTTGTTTTTATTTTATTTATTTTTATTTTTATTTTTTTAAAGATGGGGTTTCACCATCATGGCCAGGCTGGTCTTGAACTCCTGACCTCAGGTGATTCACCCACCTCAGCCTCCCAAAGTGCTAGGATTACAGGCGTGAGCCATCGTGCCCGGCTTTGTTTTTGTTTTTAGAGGTGGGATCTTGCTGTGTTGCTCAGGCTGGTCTCAAACTCCTGGCTTCAAGCAATCCTCCTGCCTCAGCTTCCCAAAGTGCTGGGATTACAGGCATGAGCCACCACACCTGGCCCAGTTTCTTATTTATAAAATAGAGCCAGGAGTTGTGGCTTACACCTGTAATCCCAGCAGTCAAGGCCAAAGCGGGTAGATCACTTGATGTCAGGAATTTGAGATCAGCCTGGCCAACATGGTGAAATTTTATCTCCAATAAAAATACAGAAAAATTAGCTGGGCACGTGGTGGCACATGCCTATAATACCAGCTACTTGGCAGTCTGAGGCAGGAGAATCGCTTGAACCCAAGAGGTGGAGGTTTCAGTGAGCCGAGATTTCACCATTGCACTCCAGCCTGGACGACAGAGAGAGACCCTACCTTGTCTCAATAAAAGAAATGAATAAATAAAATAGAATTCGTGTTGATGATGATGACCGTAACCACAATGACAGCAACGATGATCATGATAGCCATCCTCCTTTCCTTACACAATTTTTATGGAGGGCTGTTTAAGTTGCTTGTGTGAAAGTGCTTTGTGTTAGCGTGTTACCATCTGGGAGGTAACTTGGAGACAGATGAGGAAACGTGGCTCTCAAACAGGAATGTTGAGGGGCACAGATGCAAGGAGCAGTCTGTAGTGGATCTGGTCTTGTCATTTGCCTCTTGATATTGTCCAAATTACACAGCTCCTCCAGGACTTAGTTTAAAAAATGAGGATACCCACTTTTCCTGGGGTTTCATGAGAATTAGATGAGATAAAGTATAGGAAGCACCTGGCTCAGTGCCTAGCATGTAGAAAATTTCAGTAAAAGTGTATATATATATATAAAAATCACATATAACATATATCTATATAAAGCTTATAATTCTCAAGAAAAAAAGAAAAAAATATATATGTTTGTTTGTTTTGTTTTTGAGACAGGGTCTCACTCATCGCCCAGGCTGGAGTGCAGTGCTGCCTGCCATCTTGGATCACTGCAACCTCTGCCTCCTCAGCTCGAGCAATTCTTGTGCCCCCGTTTCCAGAGTAGCTGGGACTGCAGGCATGCACCAGCATGCCTGGTTAATCTTTTGTAGTTAGTGAGACAGGGTTTCCCCATGTTGCCCAGGCTGGTCTTGCACTTCTGAGCTCAGGCAATCCGCCTGCCTTGGCCTTCCAAAGTGCTAGGATTATAGGCGCGAGCCACCGCACTCATCCTAAAAGTGTATTTTGAAACTCTCATAGGCAGTGTAAGTGTTGAGGTTCCCAGGCCAAATGCTTTCCTACTGTTCCAGGAGGGCCCTGGGAATCCTATTACCTAGAAGAATTCTTTATTCTCTTTGTTGTAGGAAAGTCCAATATGGGTGGCTCTCCCAAGACAGCTGTTAACCTTATCAGAGAGATCCTGAACATCAACCAGAAGAGGAACGACTATTTGGGTGAGCCCCCGCCCACATTTGTGCTGCTCCTGCAGAGGTCCCGAGATCCTCGGCCAGGGGTCCCAGCACCTTGGCTCTGATCCAGAGCCAATGGTTTTATTTCTGCGTTGTTCTGTATGAAGGCAACTGAGTATCACATTGAAGAGTCTGGAGTCAAACTACTGCCCATGGTTTCAACCTTATCTTCATTTTTTTTTTTTTTTTTTTTTTTTGAGACGGAGTTTCGCTCTTGTTACCCAGGCTGGAGTGCAATGGCACGATCTCGGCTCACCGCAACCTCCGCCTCCTGGGTTCAGGCAATTCTCCTGCCTCAGCCTCCTGAGTAGCTGGGATTACAGGCACGCGCCACCACGCCCAGCTAATTTTTGTATTTTTAGTAGAGACGGGGTTTCACCATGTTGACCAGGATGGTCTCGATCTCTTGACCTCGTGATCCACCCGCCTCGGCCTCCCAAAGTGCTGGGATTACAGGCTTGAGCCACCGCGCCCGGCCTTTTTTTTTTTTTTTTTTTTTTTTTTAAAGACAGTGTCTCACTGTCACTCAGGGTATCTGGGTATCTTCCTGAAAAGATATCCATCCACAATGGCCCAGAATTTGGTCCAAAGAGTAAAGATGTCCACCCATGGAGTGCAGTGGTGCAATCACAGCCCACTGCAGCCTCAAACTCCTGGTTTAAAGTGATCCTCCCAACGTGCTAGGATTACCGGTATGAGCCACTGTGCTCAGCCCATCTTTACAGATTTTTTTAAATTAATTTTATTTTTGAGACAGAATCTTGATCTGTTGCCCAGGCTGAAGTGCAGTGACTTGATCTCCTCACTGCAACCTCCACCTCTGGGGTTCAAGCAATTCTCCTGCCTCCAGAGTAGCTGGGATTACAGGTGTGTGCCAACACGCCTGGCTCATTTTTGTATTTTTAGTGGAGATGGATTTCACCATGTTGGCCAGCCTGGTCTCAAACCCCTGACCTCAAGTGATCTGCCTGCCTTGGCCCGGCTAGGTGCTGGAATTACAGGCGTGAGCCACTGTGCCTGGCCAATTTTTAATTATTATTTTAATCACCAGCTTTAGACAGAGAATCTTGGTTTCATCTTCAATGGGCTGTGGCCATGGGAAGTTTCTTCATCTGTGAAAGGGGAGTAATACAAGGACCCGGTTCCTAAGCTGACAGGGAAAATGCTCAGACAAACACTGCCTGCCTGGCACAGAAAAGTGCCCAGCATATGTTAGCTGTGGCCACAGCAGCCGTCATCATTATTATCATCAGCAGCTCGTGTTTCAGGAAATTTTCCAGGAAGGGACCCCGATTCCCTGTAGGGAATGTCCCTGGTGTTTTCTCGTTCAGCAGCACAGCTGGCTAACTAAGGCTTTGGCAGTTACGGCCTCTAAAGGGAACAATTCCTCAGGTTCAGACTAAACACAAATTGCACTGACCTTTGACCAGTAATTTCAGAGACAGATGCTCAGACAGGGAGGGCAGCTATTTTTGAGCCCCAACATTTCCACTTCTCCTTAGCTCCTCTCCTTTCCATTCACACTGCCCCACTCCATCTGCCCCTCGGGGATAAGCTTGTTCCTCAAAATTCTGGCCCAAGGAAGACAAAACTCAAACCCCACTCCCTTCCACCTTAGCATCACCGGGCCGAGGTTAAATGCTACAGAAACATTTTATTGAAAACAAGCAGGAAACTGAAGGAAAAGCGAACGCACAAGGCACGATCATTGTCTAGCTCCAGCTGCAGCTGCTTCCATCCAGGCCTTTGCTGGCTTACTTCCTGGCTGAAGGTCTCTCGATCTACCTAAGCACCTTGCTTTTTACACATGCTTTTTACACACAATGTGGGGCTCTCTGAGGGCAAAAATGGGCCACAGTGGGTGCAAAGGCTGAAAGAGGACTGGACTCCGTGGTCTGCCTCAGGCAGGTCTGACCAGCACCATAGCCAGAGGCCAGGCGCAGCCAGCTGTGTGGGTCCAGGGCTTCCAGGGGGAAGACGTGGCTTTAGGCCCTTCTCCCAGATTATACCTTTTTTTTTTTTTTGAGACGGAATTTCGCTCTTGTTATCCAGGCTGGAGTGTGCAATGGCGCGATCTCGGCTCACCGCAACCTCCGCCCCCTGGGTTCAGGCAATTCTCCTGCCTCAGCCTCCCGAGTAGCTGGGACTACAGGCGTGCACCACCATGCCCAGCTAATTTTTGTATTTTTAGTAGAGACGGGGTTTCACCATGTTGACCGGGATGGTCTCGATCTCTCGACCTCGTCATCCACCCGCCTCGGCCTCCCAAAGTGCTGGGATTACAGGCTTGAGCCACCGCGCCTGGCAGATTATACCTTTTACAGAGGAAGACCAGATCTGAGGTTTTGTTTCCATATTATGTTCTGAGTTGTTTCTATTCATTCAGTCATTTAAAAATACTTACCAATGTACCACAGACCTGAGTGGAACACAGAATTTTTTTCTCACCCAGTTCTGGAGGGTAGAAGAGTGAAATGGAGATGCTGGCAGGGCTGTGCTGCCTCGGGAGGCTCTCAGGAAAAATCCTTTCCTGCCTTTCCTGGCTGCCAGGGGCCCCAGGCATGCCTGGTCTTGTGGCAGCACAAACCCATTCTCTGCCTCTGTCTTCAACTTGCCTTCTCTCTGTGCACCTCTGTGTCAGTACATGCTATTCTCTTATATAGATAGGAGACCCACTACCTGTGTGTGTGTATCCAAATTCCCTTCTTTTTTTGTTTGTTTGAGACAGAGTCTCGCTCTGTTGTCCAGGAGCCCAGGCTGCAGTGCAGTGGCGCAATCCTGGCTTACTGTAACCTCTGCCTCCTGGTTCAAGTGATTTTCATGCCTCGGTCTCCCAAGAAGCTGGGATTACAGGCATGTGCCACCATACCCAGGTCATTTTTGTAGTTTTAGTAGAGACAGGGTCTTGCCATGTTAGCCAGGCTGGTCTTGAACTCCTGGCCTCAAGAGATCTGCCTGTCTTAGCCTCAAAAACTGCTGGGATGCCACTGCGCCCAGCCAATTCACCTCTTCTTCTTCTTCTTCTTCTTCTTTTTTTTTTTTGAGATGGCGTCTCACTCTGTTGCTCAGGCTGGAGTGCAGTGGCGCAGTCTCAGCTCACTGCAACCTCTGCCTCCCAGGTTCAAGCGATTCTCCTGCCTCAGCCTCCCGAGTAGCTAGGATCACAGGCGTGCACCACCATGCCCAGCTAATTCTTTGTGTTTTTAGTAGAGATGGGATTTTTCCACGTTGGCTAGGCTGGTCTCGAACTCCTGATCTCAGGTGATCCACCTAACTTGCTCTCCCAAAGTGCTGGGATTACAGGTGTGAGCCACCGCACCCGGCCTTTTTTATTTTATTTTATTTTATTTTATTTATTTTTTTTTTTAGAAAAGAGTTTCACTCTTGTTGTCCAGGCTGGAGTGCAATGGCACGATCTAGGCTCACCACAACCTCCGTCCCCTGGTGATTATAGGCATGAGCCACTGCACGCAGCCCCAGCTCACCTCTTCTTATAAGGACCCCACTCATTGGATTAGGGCTCACGCGAATCCAGTGTGACTTCATCTTGATTACATCTGCAGAGGTCATTTTTCCAAATAAGGTCACAGGTACTGGGTGGGGGTTAGGACTTGAACACATCTTTTTCGGGGGGACACAATTCTACCACTATAGGGAATCAACAAGATAAGGAAACCATAGAACCCAGTAGGTGGTAGGTGACATGAGCTAAGGGGTCTTGCCATGTTGCTCAGGCTGGTCTCAAACATCTGGCTTCAAGCGATCCTCCCACCTTGCCTTTCACTCCCACTCCAAAGTGGGAGTGAAAGTGTCTGGGGCACTGCAGTTTTAGACAGGCAGACCAGGAGAGCCTCACTGAGAAGGTGACATTTGAGCCAAGACGTAAAAAGGCACACAAGTGAGCCATGTGGAAGTCTGGGGGAGAAGTGAACTAGGCAGAGGCACCGCTGGGGCAAAGGTCCTGAGGTGCGGCTACACCTATGTGTGCATTTGAGGAACTTCAAAGAGGTTGTGTGCCGGGGGAGAGTGAAGGGCAGGTTGTGGCAGGGAATGCAGGCAGACAGGTAGCAGTGGGGAGGTCGCAGGGGTCAGCTCGTGGAGGTCCTGGGTGGACACAGTGAGTTACAAATGACAGCCTCTTGTCTCGCGGGTAGCCCCAAAGTCACAGCAGTCTGGTGATTTCCCTCTTCCCCACAGACATCTATGCCATTGGGGTGGGCAATCTGGATGTGGACTGGAAAGAACTCAATGAGCTGGGGTCCAAGAAGGATGGCGAGAGGCATGCCTTCATTCTCCAGGACACAAAGGCTCTGCACCAGGTCTTTGAACATATGCTGGGTGAGTGAGCTTTGCCCTCCCTGGCGTGGGGACAATGGCGAGGGGCCCACCAGAGGCCCATCTTGGGAACCTAGACTCAGTGCCCCTCACTTGCCTCCTTCCCCATCTGATCCTCACACCCACAGATGTCTCCAAGCTCACAGACACCATCTGCGGGGTGGGGAACATGTCAGCAAATGCCTCTGACCAGGAGAGGACACCCTGGCATGTCACTATTAAGGTACTGGAAGGAGGGGGTGGGGTTTGGATTCCAGAGGTGAAAGTGGCCATGGGCCAGAGATACTGCAATCCCTGAAGATCACCTGTTCCCCTGTAGCCCAAGAGCCACGAGACCTGTCGGGGGGCCCTCATCTCTGACCAATGGGTCCTGACAGCCGCTCACTGCTTCCTCGATGCCAAGGACCACTCCCTGTGGAGGGTCACTGTGGGTAAGGCAGGGGATGCACCGGCTCCCGACCCCGAAGCCACAGATCCTGCCACCTGACCCAGCCTCTGGCCCCTGCAGGAGCCCTGGTCTATCCTAATCTGGCATATCATTTCCAGGAGATCCCAAATCCCAGTGGGGCAAAGAATTCCTTATTGAGAAGGCAGTGATCTCCCCAGGGTTTGATGTCTTTGCCAAAAAGGACCAGGGAATCTTGGAGTTCTACGGTGATGACATTGCCCTGCTGAAGCTGGCCCAGAAAGTAAAGATGTCCACCCACGCCAGGTGCCGGGAGTCTGGGACGGGAGGGTGCCCTGGAGGGGAGAGCGCTCTGGAGAGCCCTGATGAGATACTGGGGACAGGCCAGTGTGACACTGGCTCTTCTCCTCCCCAGGCCCATCTGCCTTCCCTGCACTGTGGAGGCCAATCTGGCTCTGCGGAGACCTCAAGGCAGCACCTGTAGGGACCATGGTGAGTGCTGGGACTTAGGGTGCTTGAGAGCTGGGGCGGGGGTTTGGCGGTGATAATGAGGACCAGGCTGCAGTCCCCAAGCCAGGAATCTCGGTCTGGGTAAAAGAACCAGCACCAACATCCCCTTCTCTTGACTGCAGAGAATGAACTGCTGAACAAACAGAGTGTTCCTGCTCATTTTGTCGCCTTGAATGGGAGCAAACTGAACATTAACCTCAAGACGGGGGCGGAGGTAAGGGCCTCAGGTTGGGGATGCTGGGATCCCCCTGTGACAGCTCCCGGAATGTCTCTCTTCCTTCTCCAGCTCTGGCTGCTTTCTGTCTCTGACATGGGTCATTCCTCCTCCCCAGCCTCACAGGCTTGCTAGGTGTCCCTGGGTCTGCTTATTCTTTTTTTTTGGTTGAGATGGAGTCTTGCTCTGTCTCCCAGGCTAGAGTGCAATGGCACAATCTTGGCTCACTGCAACTTCTGCCTCCCGGGTTCAAATGATTCTCCTATCTCAGCCTCCTGAGTAACTGGGATTACAGGTGCTCGCCACCACACTCAGCTGTTTTTTTTTTTTTTTTTTTGTAGAGATGGGGTTTCGCCATGTTGGCCAGATTGGTCTTGAACTGCTGACCTCAGGTGATCCATCCACCTCAGCCTCGCAAAGTGCTGGGATAACAGGCATGAGCCGCCGCGCCCGGCCAGGTCTGCTTATTCTCTTCTCTCCGGTCCCACCCCTACTGCAGGGGAGAAGCTGTGCCGAGGTGGTCTCCCAGGAGAAAGCCATGTTCCCCAACTTGACAGATGTGAGGGAGGTGGTGACAGACCAGTTCCTATGCAGTGGGACCCAGGAGGATGACAGTCCCTGCAAGGGTGAGTCCCTCAGCATGCCTGGATTCCCAAGGGAAGGCCACCTGTATCCCTGTGGCCAGCATGCATGCCAGAACATCAATCGGCTGTCCTGCATGACACTGACTCCTGTCACCCTTTGCTGGCAGGAGAATCTGGGGGAGCCGTTTTCCTTGAGCGGAGATTCAGGTTTTTTCAGGTGAGAAGGTGGAAGCTTGCAGGACCCAGGGGTTACAGGATCTCAGCCTTGGTAGGGGCGGGGGTGAGGGAGGCCTTTAAGGGATCTAGGGAGGTTGGGGCTTACAGCTGGGGCTGTGACAACCTCCCAGTCAGTTCTCTCCTTTTCTCCAGGTGGGTCTGGTGAGCTGGGGTCTTTACAATCCCTGTCTTGGCTCTGCTGACAAAAACTCTCGCAAAAGGGCCCCTCGTAGTAGGGTCCCGCCGCCACGAGACTTTCACATCAATCTCTTCCACGTGCAGCCCTGGCTAAGGCAGCATTTGGGGGATGTCCTGAATTTTTTGCCCCTCTAATTATGGCCACCGAGACATCTGCTGCCCTGCCAGGATCTGCCACCCCTCCATCATCTACCTCTGAATACCCACCCTTAGACCCTGTGACCCATCCCTCTCCTAGCTGAGTAAATCTGGGTCTCTAGGATACCAGAGGCAGTACACTCAAACTGGGCAATCCTCAGGGCTCCCGCCAGCGGGACTGCCTCACTGCCCCACCTCCTGCTCCTTGGCCTGTGCCCAAATTCCTCCCCTGGTTTACTGGACTCCTGCTTGTTTCACTTTCACATGGAATTTCCCAGTTATGAAATTAATAAAAATCAATGGTTGCACATCTGTCTGCGCCTCTGTCTGGGGGCCAGGTAGGGCTGGCCTAGGGGGAGGGGGAGGCCAGAATGACTCCATGAGCCACAGAAAGGCAGGTCAGAGACCCCACTGGACAAACAGTGGCTGGACTCTGCCCCATAACACACAATCAACAGGGGAGTGAGCTGGTTCCTTATTTCTGGTCCCTAAGTGGGTGGTCTGGGTTTGTCGGGGAGGAGCTGAGGCCAGAGAGGAGGTGCTGAAAGGGAGAGTCCCGGACCTTGGGCAGCAAAGGGTGGGACTTCAGCAGTTTCTGTTTCCTTGACTGGCAGCTCAGTGGGGCCCTCCCGCTTGGATATTCCCGGAAAGTGATGTGGGTAGGATAGGCGGGGCAAGCTGCAGGTGCCAGGACACAGATTGCACAAAAGGCTGGGGGCTGGTGGGGAGCAGGGGAAGGGAATGTGACCAGGTCTAGGTCTGGAGTTTCAGCTCGGACACTGAGCCAAGCAGACACGCAAAGCAAGACAGGGCTCGCCATCCTGCCCCCGGCCCAGCTTCTCTCCTGCCTTCCAACGCCATGGGGAGCAATCTTAGCCCCCAGCTCTGCCTGGTGCCCTTCATCTTGGGCCTCTTGTCTGGAGGTAAGCAAGGGTACCCTCCCCTTCCTGCTGTCCCCAGCATCCCTCCTTGGCCTTGTGGGGCCAGGCTTCATCAGCCTTTCTCTTCAGGTGTGACCACCACTCCATCGCTTGTGGCCCGGCCCCAAGGATCCTGCTCTCTGGAGGGGGTAGAGATCAAAGGCGGCTCCTTCCGACTTCTCCAAGAGGGCCAGGCACTGGAGTACCTGTGTCCTTCTGGCTTCTACCCGTACCCTGTGCAGACACGTACCTGCAGATCCACGGGGTCTTGGAGCACCCTGCAGACTCGAGACCAAAAGACTGTCAAGAAGGCAGAGTGCAGAGGTTTGAGGGCAGTGAGTGTGGGCAGTGGTCTACGGGAGAAACAGAGCAGGTGGCGGCAGGCTCGGGTCTAGGATGAGACTAGGCAGGCTGACAAGGTGGGCTGACCAGGGGTAGGAGCAGTTTTAGGGTGGCAGAGGGGAAGGAGGGAAGAGAAAGGGGAGTTAAGCTTTACTAAGCATTTACCCTGGGCTTCCAGGCGGCCCCGGAAGTTAAGAGAACACTCAGAAATAGGGATGGAGAGGCTGGGCATGGTGGCTCACGCCTGTAATCTGAGTACTTTGAAAGACGGGTGGATCACAAGGTCAGGAGTTTGAGACCAGCCTGGCTAACACAGTGAAACCCCATCTCTACCAAAAATACAAAAAGTAGCTGGGCGTGGTGGTGGGTGCCTGTAGTCCCAGCTACTCGGGAGGCTGAGGCAAGAGAATCGATTGAACCCGAGAGGCGGAGGTTGCAGTGGGCTGAGACTGCACCATTGCACTGTAGGCTGGGTGACAAAGTGAGACTCCATCTCAAAAAAAAAAAAGAGGCCGGGCGCGGTGGCTCAAGCCTGTAATCCCAGCACTTTGGGAGGCCGAGGCGGGTGGATCACGAGGTCGAGAGATCGAGACCATCCTGGTCAACATGGTGAAACCCCGTCTCTACTAAAAATACAAAAAATTAGCTGGGCATGGTGGTGCGTGCCTGTAGTCCCAGCTACTCAGGAGGCTGAGGCAGGAGAATTGCCTGAACCCAGGAGGCGGAGGTTGCGGTGAGCCGAGATCGCGCCATTGCACTCCAGCCTGGGTAACAAGAGTGAAACTCCGTCTCAAAAAAGAAAAAAAAAAAAAAAAAAAAAAAAAAAAAAAAAAATGGGGAGGGAGAAGCAGCGGAAACCCCTGTGGGTTGATGGGAAGGTAAGATGCTGCTTCTGTGGGACTGGGAATGCATTGTTTCTCAGTGACACAGTCTTTGAGACCAGGAGGGATAACCCTAAGGCAGCCTTTCCCTCTTGATGACTTCTACTTGTCCCCTCTTCTCAAAGCAATTCACTGTCCAAGACCACAGGACTTCGAGAACGGGGAATACTGGCCCCGGTCTCCCTACTACAATGTGAGTGACGAGATTTCTTTCCACTGCTATGATGGTTATACTCTCCGGGGCTCTGCCAATCGCACCTGCCAAGTGAATGGCCGGTGGAGTGGACAGACAGCAATCTGTGACAACGGAGGTGAGAAGCATCCCCTCCCCTACATTGCCGTCTCCCTGAGAGCGCCCAGCCTGAGGATGGGCACTCGGCACCGGCCACTCTAACTCTTGCTTTCTGCCTTGCCCTCGGGGCCTCGGGCTTCAGGGCTTACCTCCATGACTTATGCCTCTGCAGCGGGATATTGTTCCAACCCTGGCATCCCCATTGGCACAAGGAAGGTGGGCACCCAGTACCGCCTTGAAGACAGTGTCACCTATCACTGCAGCCGGGGTCTTATCCTGCGTGGCTCCCAGCAGCGAAAGTGTCAGGAAGGTGGCTCCTGGAGTGGGACAGAGCCTTCCTGCCAAGGTGACCCTTGACCTCTACCCTCAGGTCAGATCCTGATCTTCCATCCTGCTGTCTCCTCTCCCCACCACAACCCTGCTCTTTCCTCACTTCCTTTAAACCTCCCTGTAGAACGGTCTCACTTCTGAGCCTTTTCTACCCTGGAAACCCACAATCCCCCATCTCTTTGGTCATCGTGTCCCCGACACCCTCAGACATTTGACCTCATTTCTGGCTCCCAGATTCTTTCATGTACGACACCCCTCAAGAGGTGGCCGAAGCTTTCCTGTCTTCCCTGACAGAGACCATAGAAGGAGTGGATGCCGAGGATGGGCACAGCCCAGGTTTGAAGGCAGAGAGGGGAGGCAGGGTAGGGAACTGGGGGAAGATGGAGAAGGGACATGAGAATCGTTAATGCCGGAGTCTGAGTCACTCTTTTGGCACCCAGGGGAACAACAGATGCGGAAGATCGTCATTGACCCCTCAGGCTCCATGAACATCTACCTGGTGCTGGATGGATCAGACAGCATTGGGTTGGGCAACTTCACAGGAGCCAAAAGGTGTCTAGTGAACTTAATTGAGAAGGTGAAGTCCTCCTACCCCTGAACTTGGGGGAATAAATGGACCCTCACTGCTTTTCCAGGACTGGCTCCCTGATAATTCCAGACCCTCTGAACCACAGGGCCTGAGAAAAACCTCCAGGTCCTATTCTGTCCTTCCCTTTTACTTGAAGCAGTTTCTTGACTGGTAATTCCTCCTTAGTAACAGGTTCAACCCTTGAGCCTCTTACTAAAAGCCTCCCTATTCCAGCAAAGCTACTGAAGTCTCCAAATCACAGAATTCTTTCAACGCCATGGTGCCTTGTTCTCCTCACCCACAGGTGGCGAGTTATGGTGTGAAGCCAAAATATGGTCTCGTGACATATGCCACATACCCCAAAATTTGGGTCAAAGTGTCTGACCCACACAGCAGTGATGCAGACTGGGTCACAAAGAAGCTCAATGAAATCAATTATGAAGGTCAGAGGTTAGGGAATGGTGGAAGCTTCACTTTGGGGTCAGAAGCCTCAGGGGTGCTTTGTGGAGGGGGTCATGAGACTACCTTGAGGGTGACAGAGAGGACCACTTTGTAGTCAAAGGTTGAACTGCAGGGTCATTGGGCAATGGAGGTTAGTGAGAACCTGTTGGGGCTGGAAGGGGCACTTTGTGGTCAAAGGGAAGTCCGTGCAATGATAATTAACTTAAAAAGTTGAAAGATGTGGGATCTCAGTTGCAGACTGGCCTCTAGGGTTGAGATGGCTTGGAAGACCAGGTGAGGTGATAATCTCTTCCATCTCCATAGACCACAAGTTGAAGTCAGGGACTAACACCAAGAAGGCCCTCCAGGCAGTGTACACCATGATGAGCTGGCCAGACAACCCTCCTGAAGGCTGGAACCGCACCCGCCATGTCATCATCCTCATGACCGATGGTCAGAAGGGACCTCTCTCCTGTCCCAGTCTCCCCACCTTCTCAGACCAGCATGTGGCCCTTAAGCCCACTTGGAACACTATACTCACGGTTGGGGCCCTGAACGTGACTCATTGCTGTTTGTTAATCTCTCTTGTGACCCTTTAGAAGAAATTCTTCCTAAAGCCCTGTTACCAACTATCTCTATCCCTTCCTCGACTTGCTCACCTTGCCATGTGTATCACTGCCTCTAGCCAATTTAGCTTATCTCCCATCCTCATGGTCCTGTCCCTTCTGCAGGATTGCACAACATGGGCGGGGACCCAGTTACTGTCATTGATGAGATCCGAGACTTGCTATACATCGGCAAGGATCGCAAAAACCCGAGGGAGGATTATCTGGGTGAGTAGCCTGCTTAGGACCCAGCACCCCACTTCCTCAGGGATTGGACCCTCATCCTTCCTTTTTCTCCCTCAGATGTCTATGTGTTTGGTGTCGGACCTTTGGTGGACCAAGTGAGCATCAATGCTTTGGCTTCCAAGAAAGACAATGAGCAACATGTGTTCAAAGTCCAGGATATGGAAAACCTGGAAGATGTTTTCTTCCAAATGATTGGTAAGGAGACACAACGGAATAAAGAACGCAACTCTCCTAGGGTTCCTCCGAAGTAATTCATTCTTCCTCTACCCCTGAAGCTCTAGTTTCCTGGAAAGCCTTTTCATTCCTCCTTCTCTACCTCAGTGTTACTATTCTTGTTTCCTGGCACTGTTCACTTCTTAAACCTTAGAATCACAGAGTTCTGAGCACTTCAGAGATCTTTCTATAGTCCTACATTTGACACGTGGCAACAGGCCAAAAGAGGTTAAGCAGTAGCAAGCTAGCAACAGGGTTGGGCCTGAAAATGGCCAGACCTTTGCCAGCTTGGTCCAAAGGTCTTTTCCTTTCACTCCCCCACAGCGGTTTTCTCCCAACACGAGAAACAAATGCCCCTGGCCTTTCCCTTTCTCCTTTTGGGCTGCTGCTCCCCATAGATATGCAGGGACTCTTCCCCAAAAGACTGCTGCCATTTGGGAATGAAGTGTTCCCAGTTTTCAGAACATTCTCCTTCTCTGCCAGATGAATCCCAGTCTCTGAGTCTTTGTGGCATGGTTTGGGAACACAGGAAGGGTAATGACTACCACAAGCAACCATGGCAGGCCAAGATCTCAGTCACTGTAAGCATAGAATCCTGGAGACTTGGGGGAGGTGAGGTCAAGGTGCAATGGGAGGAGGGGAAGGGCAAAATGGCCGTAAGAGTTGGTGGTTTGTGAAAGCTGAGCTTCCCCCTCCACTGTTCTGTTCCCAGCGCCCTTCCAAGGGACACGAGAACTGTATGGGGGCTGTGGTGTCTGAGTACTTTGTGCTGACAGCAGCACATTGTTTCACTGTGGATGACAAGGAACACTCGATCAAGGTCAGCGTGGGTAAGGATGCAACTGATGGTCCTGGGCTGCAGCTATGCCCTCCAGGCAACACCTCCCACTTTCCACAGATCCTACACTCCACCCATCCTCAATGCAGCCCCCTCCCTTGCAACCCAGACCAGTCAGAGACGGGGAAGGCTTGAAGTTAGGAATGACACGGGGCCAGAGACAGGAAGCTGCCCACCAAGCATCATCTACTCTCCTACTTCAGGAGGAAATAGGCGGGAGCTGGCGATAGAAAAAGTCCTATTTCACCCCAACTACAACATTAATGGGAAAAAAGCAGCAGGAATTCCTGAATTTTATGACTATGACGTCGCCTTGATCAAGCTCAAGACTAAGCTGCAGTATGGAGAGACTATCAGGTGAGAGCGTCCAGATCCCTGCTGGGAAAGCCTGGCTGGAGGACTGGGGTGAAGGGCAGGCCTGCTTTGTTGTCACTGACTTTATCCCTGTCCTTCATAGGCCCATTTGTCTCCCCTGCACCGAGGGAACAACTCGAGCTTTGAGGCTTCCTCCGGCGACCACTTGCCAGCAACACAGTAAGACATATTCAGAAAGAGGATAAGGATGAGACCCCAAGAGACAAGTGGGGAATGAGAGGGAGGTGCAATAGGAAGAGACGATGCCCGGCCCAGGACCTCGCTCTAGAAGGGCTTAGGGGACATCTGCTGAGTGACAAAGGCAATGGGGAGATGATAGTGGTGGGGGCAGCTGAAGTGACACAGTCTATTTGTCCAGAGGAAGAGCTGCTCCCTGCACAGGATGTCAAAGCTCTGTTTGTGTCTGAGGAGGAGAAGAGGCTGACTCGGAAGGAGGTCTACATCAAGAATGGGGATAAGGTGAGACAGGGGCATCCTAAGGAGGTACTCTAGGCCCCGGTCCTTCCTAAGCTACATCTGTTCATTATCCTTATCCATGCTTCCCACCTCCCCTACAGAAAGGCAGCTGCGAGAGAGATGCTCAATATGCCCCAGGCTATGACAAAGTCAAGGACATCTCTGAGGTGGTCACCCCCCGGTTCCTTTGTACTGGAGGAGTGAGTCCCTATGCTGACCCCAATACTTGCAGAGGTGAGGGAAGGCTCTGTGGTTGTGCTGCAAGTTCCCGAGGCCCAAGAGTCCTTTTCCCTACAGCTTCTCCTCTCCTTGCAGGCGATTCTGGCGGCCCCTTGATTGTTCACAAGAGGAGTCGTTTCATTCAAGTGAGTCCTCCCTTTCCTATCTGGGGAGATGCCAAGTGGTCAGCATGGGCCTGAAAGCAGGAAAGCTCAATGCATATGGCTAGTGATGCAAGACGGGCAGAGCCTGCCTCACCTCAGGGCCGCACGTCTGGCCTGTGTCTGTCAAGAACAAGGCTGAGCTGGGTCCCTAGTCTGATTCCTTTAGGTCAGCTAAGACACGATCAGGATCAGCCATGCTTCCAGGATTAGAAAGGAAGTCTACTGAATGATCCATGGCACCCCTCTGCCTCTGCAGGTTGGTGTAATCAGCTGGGGAGTAGTGGACGTCTGCAAAAATCATAGGCGGCAAAAGCAGGTACCTGCTCACGCCCGAGACTTTCACATCAACCTCTTCCAAGTGCTGCCCTGGCTGAAGGACAAACTCCAGGATGAGGATTTGGGTTTTCTATAAGGGGTTTCCTGCTGGACGGGGCACGGGACGGAATTAAAACAGCTGTGACAACACCTGTGTTCCAGATCCTTTTGGGGCGAGGGAGTGGGGAACCGGCACTGGCCATGTTATTACGGAGATCAAACCTGACAGCCGTTTTTAAAGGCTTAACCCCAATCCCAAGTGCTGAAAAACCAGAGGCTGAGGGAGATGTGTAAGCTTCCACCTCAGTGTTTTACTGAGATCAGCATTGGGGCATATTGAGGCACAAGGAATCCAGCTCTGTTCCCTAGAAGCCATCCACAAGGTTTTCCTTGTAGACGTCATCACTGTAGACAATCTGGGTCCTCTTGTCCCGGTGGCAACCCTTAGGGCTGTTCTGGACAGCTAGGGAGGGAGGAGAGGAATAGTTAAGGTCTGAAGGAGATCACAGATCAGACCCTGAGGCCGACTCCGGACTACCTCACTCCTGGCCCGGGTCTCTGGAAGCCCAGTTTCCACACTGCCCTCTGGTGGCCAGGATGGCCTGTGTCCCTTAGCTCCTTTGTGCCAACCCATGGCCAAGAAGAGTCTAAGCGGATATGATGATGAATGTTTTGTTCTTAGAAAAATCCCAAATGTCACTGCTGAGACACGTGAACGATGTTACCCACTACTTATAGTACGTCAAAAGTTAAAAACTAGAAAACCTCTGTAGCCCTCTGTTGACACGCTGGTCAATTCTAGTTCCTTCATTTTGCTTGAAGGGCCATTCTTGCTCTGAGCCCTTCTTTCTGCTCACTCCTTTCCCAGGAAAATCTACTTTCAGGTAGAATGGTTATTCACACTAAGAAATGCTACTAGCTCCCCCAGGAGAACTCATCCAGGGTGTATTTTGGCCCTCACCCTTCTCTCTCAAGCCTCTAGCTGTTTCTTCCCCTTTCTCTTTCTTCCCTCCACCAGACATGTCACTCTTCACCCTATCTAACAATTCCATCCCCACCACTCTGAGACTAGAGAGAATGGCTCCCACCCACTTCCCACCCTGTGATCTCTGTACCTTGACACTATTGGCTACTCTCTCCTCTCAAAGTGTGTGTCCTTTGGCTTCAGGGGCCCTGGCCCCTCTGGTGCTGCTCCCAGCTCCGACCCCTCCTCCTGTCTCCTTTGCTAACATTAGGCTCAACGTTAGCCTAACATGTCAGGAGAGCTGGGGATACGTGGGGCATGAGGAGGACAGTCCTGTTTCCTAACACAGTCCCTGCACTCAAGCCTAGTCCTGGGTCGTTTTTTTCCCTCTGAAACTGGTCTCCCTGATTATCCTATTGTTTGGGAGCATCCCTGTGACGTGGATGACTGAATCTGTTTTCATTCCTTACCTCACACCTGAGTTCTAGATGGCTGATTTTAAATACTTATGAAACTCGCTCTATTCCATCTCAAAATGAACAAGTCCCATGAGACACTCGTCTTTCTCACCAATCTCGCTCCGGCTCCCACTTTCTTTCCTGTTCAGCCACTGCTTTGGAAGCTGCTTTCAATCCTTTTCTCGCCTTTCTTTACCTCTGACAGAGGATCTGAAATTTTCCTTCCCATTCCCACAGCCTCCACACAAAGTGACCTCTATCATCTCTCGGAAACCCAAGTATGTGAGGGGGAACCAAAAGGAGTGGGCTGCGGGAGAGAGCATGGGGAAGGAAGAATCCCATTCTTACCAAGGGAGCCCCAAACAGACTTGCCAGTAGCGGCATCCAGCATGGGCTGTTTTCGGGCTATGTTGACTTTGAGCTGTACAGACTCCACCTGGGTCCCGTTGAGCTGAAGCAGAAGAGGGGAGGCAGAGGATGGGGAAGAAAACATTACAGATAAACCAAAGAAGTTATTCCAGGGGTTGCTATCCTAGGAGTAGACTGATTAGGAATCTGAGAATGTAAGTTTTTCTGCGTGAATAGGGAGAGACTTCCTTATCAAGAGGAACCAACTTCTTCCTGGCATCTAGTATTTTGAGGAGAAAATATGAGAACAGCAGAAGCAATGGGAAGAACAGATTTGGGAAGTTCCAACCTCAGCAACCGCCTGATCTGCTGACTCCATCTTTTCATAGGTGACGAAGGCACAGCTGGGATAAGAGAAAACAGGGTCAGTGGAGAGCCAGTGGGCTCTTGTGGACCCAAACCCAGTGATCATAGGTGGCTGCAGGCAGGGCAGCTTCCTCCCTCAGGTCTCACACCCCAGGATTCCCCCAGGACTTCCTTCTCATCCTTACTTTCTGGGTGGGTCCATGGAGAGGTCAATGATGTTTCCAAAAGGAGAGAAGGCCCCACGGAGGAGGGTGGGTGTCATGTCTTCTCCGTACACATAGAGAGTGTTCCCTTTTCTAGGGGCTCGCCGTTCAGGGAATGAGTCCGACCCTTTGGGATCAGGAATCACAGTCACAAGACATAGTCCATGCCACACTTCACATAGTAGGACCCACAGAAACCTCAGTTAAGGTCACCTTGACCTCCAGCCAAGCTCACTCACTGCGGAAAGGACCCTCTCGCTCTCGGTCTCGGTCTCGCTCTCGGTCTCGGTCTCGGTCCCGGTCCCGCTCCCGCTCCCGCTCCCGGTCTCGATCCCTGTCCCGGTCCCGCTCTCGATCCCGATCCCTGTCCCGGTCCCGGTCTCTGTCTCGGTCCCGGTCTCGATCCCGCTCCCGATCTCGGTCTCTGTCCCGGTTCCTCTCATGGCTGCGGTCCCGGCTGCGACTTCGGGGAGGGGAGGCTGAGGACCGGGCACCACCACGTTCTTCATAGCCCCAGTCAAAGCTTCGAGGGGGACCATCACCAGCCCCTGGGCCCTCTGCCTCTTCTCCATCTGGCCCTAGTTCTCGAAGCCGGTCGCTAGAAGACACAAAGCTGGGGAGAAGCAGACTGAAGATCAAAGGGTGCTTCTACCTTCTCCCCTCAGACCCTGTGGAGACTCAACACTCCCTCAACCGCCCAGCCCCTACAGCCCAAACCTCCCAAGGACTCAGGCAATCAACCCCGCCAAGTGGGCCCAGTCTTATCTCTACTCTCTAACCTCTCATACAGAGATTTCCTCTGGGGACGTCTGGACGACTGTAAAAGAGACCAAGAATAGTTAAGATTCCCAGTTGCTGACATGTGGTCCAAAATACATTAGTCTCTTATGTTCCTCCATCCCCAATCCCTCAGAGACAGAAAATTAGGAGCCTTTACCTCCTGCAGGTCATCATCAGCAGATATGCTCCTCTGGAAGGGCTGGAAAGTGGGGACTGGTCCCTTCTCGGGGTCCTGGAGAGGTGAGGGACCTCTCTCAGTGTGGAGCAGAAGGCTGCCCAACCATGGAACAGAGGTGTTCCTCTTCGCTCACCTTCTTCTAGGTTTCCTCTGATCTTTTTTCCTTTTAATTCTATGGACATTTCTTATTTGACTATGTGGTTTTATTTTTTGAGACAGGGTCTTGCTCTGTTGTCCAGGCTGAAGTGCAATAGTGCAATCGTAGCTTGCTGCAGCCTTGACCTCCCAGGCTCAAGCAATCCTCCCACCTTAGCCTCCCTAGTAGCTGGGACTAGAGGTGCGCTCTATCATGCTTGGCTAATTTCTATATTTTTCTTTGCAGACATAGGGTTTCACTATGTTGCCAGGGCTAGTCTCAAACTCCTGGGCTCAAGCAATCCTCCTGCCTCAGCCTCCTAAAGTGCTAAAATTACAGGAATGAGCCACTGCTGCACCTGGCATTGTTTTTTTTTTTTTCCTTTTTCTTTTTAGACAGAGTCTTGCTCTGTCCCCTGGGCTGGAGTGCCATCTCAACTCATCGCAACCTCTGCCTCCTGGGTTCAAGCAATTCTCTGGCCTCAGCCTCCTTAGTAACTGGGACTATAGGTGTGCACCACCACGTTCTGCTAATTTTTGTATTTTTAGTGGAGATGGGGTTTCACCATGTTGGGCAGGTTGGTTTCAAACTCCTAACCTCAACTGATCCACCCTCTTCAGCCTCCCAAAGTGCTGGGATTATAGGCATGAGCCACCACGCCTTGCTGGTATTTTTAAGTGACTTGATATATACGTGTTCAGTTTATTCGAACCTCTCTTAAACCTGATAACATTTTCAGCCCTTTCCATCCCTTACAGCAACACATTCCAAGAGTTCCAATCCAAGGTGGATTAGAACCACAGAATTTGTAAAATGGAGAATTTAAGAATCACCTAGTTGTTTTCATTTTCTACATGAGAGATGAAACTCAAAATGGTACAGCAATTTGCCAATGCTTGAGTATGTATATTTTTCCCCAAGCCCATCTACATTCCAACTTGGACGGATGCCCTCTGAACAAGCCTTCTGCTTGTGCTCACCTTTAACTTTCCCTCGAGGGTTCGAGAACGCTTGAAGCCTGAGTTCTTTGTCTCAGCCTTGATGGCACTGATGGCTCCTGACTTCACCAGCTGCTTTGCCTGCTCTGTTGCAGTGGCTGTGTCCACGACAGGCTGCTCTGACAGTGCTGGAGTGATAAGGGGAAGAGGCATTTGTTGGCCAGGCCATGACAAAGGTCAGCCCCATGCTGCCCACTTCCAGTCCAACCCCATTTCCCCTGTCACTCACAGCGTTTGACACCGCCTTGGCTCGTTGTACTGCTGCTACTTTGCTTCTTCAGGGCCAGCAATGCCTTTTTCTGGGAACAAGGGTAAGAAGAGAGGGGTCAGTGAGGGCCAACCCCTAGCCGGTTCCTTTCCCAAGGCCTCTGGGCACATCATCCCAGGGACCGCCTTCCTTGATGCACTCAAAGAGTGATGCATTGATGTGCGCTGACTCTTGCCTCCGGTCCCCTACATCACGTATGGTGCTGGAAATTCCTAATATAACCAAACCATGGAATCCAGAAGTTCTCCAGAGTGTTACTTTTTTTTTTTGAGACGAAGCTGGAGTGCAGTGGCGTGATCTCAGCTCACTGCAGAGTGTGTTATATTTTGAAGTTGAAGACAAAGAATTCAATCATGGACCAGAATCCTAGGACATAAGCTGCAAGTAAGTATAAGTCTATGGGCCTTTCTTGGAGACTTCATCCATCTATTTCCTAAATATTTAATGAGGCCCAGCCACGACTTTGTAACAGGGATATCCAGGAGGCTAATGCATGGTTCCTACCCTCAAAAAGCTTACAGTCTGAGAAATAAAATAAATTGAGTGAATTAGCAATATGAATATAAGAGGTACAGAATAATCATAGCGGAAAGCTAGTAAGATTTTCTGATGTTTAACGGTCATTAAACTAGGCCCTCATATCTCTGCACAACACGGAAAGGAGAAGGGCATTTTAAAAAAAGAAAACAGGGTGGCAAAGATGCAGAGAAAAGGCGGCTTTGGGAATGCATGTTTTGGGGGTAGTCAACAGATCTACTTTACTAGACAGGGCTGCCACACTAAGGTTTTGGGGCTTTGTCATATAGACAATGTGAAGCCATTTATAAGTTTTGAGAAACAGAGGAAGCAGAATTTTGTGTTTTCAGTGGATTATTTGAGCAGGAGTGAAGAAGTCTGTTAAAAAAATAAGACTAAGAAATTTGTTGAGAGACCATTACAACAGCCCACATGGCTGTCAATAAAGCCCTGCTCTGGGGAATACACAACAAAGAATAAACATTAAAAAAAAAGAAAAAAAAAAAAAAAAAAGAAGACGACTTGGCAAATGTCTGGCTATGCAAATAGCGGAGAAATCAGAAATTAGATTTTGAGTTCAAACACATGGCAGAATTGATGTAGTCAGTCTTATTTGGAAGACCAAGAATAGAAAGTGATAGTTTCAACTTCGGGTATGTGAAGTTTTTCAGTATGACACTGTATAGAACTGGAAACACCGAACTTGGGGATCATCGGCTTTTAGGTGGTATTAAAACTCATGGGAAAGGAAGACAACCCCATGGCAGAGTGCATCGAAAGACAGAAGGTCCACACCAAAGCTTGGGAAAGCCACCTCTTGAAGCTACACTGTGAGGTGATATGTCTCCAGGTGTGGGCCAGAAGAACTTCCCCATTCGCTCACACTCACCCCAGGTCTTCTCAGAGTGCAGAGTATGTGAAAGTTAGGCTATGTCCACACACAGTCCCTCACCTTTTTCTTGAGTTTGTTGAATTTCTTCTGGAGAGCCTCCTCTTCCTCGCTCAGTCCGGGGGGTATCACCAACATGGTGGCTCCTGGTTCAGGGGCAAGGCCCAAGACATCTCTCTCCACTGTTACCACTCAGGGTTCACACCCGCCTTCCACACTGTACCCAACCCCACCCCTTCAGGCCTGCATACTCCTGCCTTTGGCTTTCCCTACCCCTGGCTTAAACCAGTCTGCTGTCCAAGTTCCCGCTCATCGGGATCATCCAGAAATCCCTCCTGTCTCCAGGGATCACAGACACCAGCACCTCGAGGTACCACGTGGCCCGGGGAGGGACGAACACCCACTCTGTCGGCAAGACGACGGCACCCGACCCCCCTACCCTCGCTGGGTTAAGGCCAACCGCGGGGCTCGAAGGGCAGAGAAGGCGATGAAACCAGCGTAGCTCCCTTAGAGCAACATAACGGGGTTAGAAGAGAGAAAGGGCTATGAAAAAAGGGGCGAAGAGTGAGGCGCAGAGGGCCTTACCTGAGGGGGCGGCAACCAGGGCCCCAGGGTCTCCGGCCGCGCCCGCGCTAGCCGCTGATAGCGGGCTCACAGCGATGACGTAGCGAGGGGAGGAAAACGCGGTAACCACAGCGGCCCCAGGCGCGCACTTCCGCCCGGCCTTCCACCGGTCCAAGTCTAGCCCTCCGCGGCGATAGCTCACACTCTCGGCGGGGCTGTGCCGGAAGTTGCCTCTACTTCCGCCCGTTCTGGGGCGGGGCTTACTTTGCAGCCACTACCAGCAGCACTTCCGGGTTGCCCGGCAGCTACTGTGGCTCCAGGATGATGGAGACAGAGCGACTAGGTGAGGGGGAGGGGAGTGAAATGGAACGGAGTAGCCGACATGAAATGACCTTTGACCCCTGACTTTTAACCTTCCCTCGTAGTACTACCTCCTCCAGATCCGCTGGACCTACCTCTTCGGGCCGTGGAGCTCGGATGCACCGGGCGCTGGGAGCTGCTGAACTTGCCTGGAGCTCCAGAGAGCACGGTGAGTGACTTTTGACGCTAAGTTTTGACCCCTATTGAGTCTAAAACTCCTTCACCCTCCTCTCAGTAGGATCTAGCTTAATCTTGTTATCTGTTCCTGTACGCCTGTCCATCCAAGCCTGAACTGGTGCTGGACAGATTCCAGCCCAGTGTACCTGCAGTGGGTCACAGTCCATGGGAGAACAGAGCAGAGAGGGCTGGGGATATTTTGCTTTGAGAGCTGCTCTTTCAAATGTGGCATTTCTCCGTGGAGCTCCCTTCTGTCTCCCAGCACCAGGGCACTTGGTGACTGAGATGCTAGGCTTTGAGCCTCCAACTCTTCATCCTTAGGTCTGGGACCACTTTTTCCAAAATCGGTGAGTCTCAAATTTCAGTGTGCTTCATGATCAGCAGGGGAGCTTTTTAAAAATGCAGATTCCTAGGTCCAGCCTCCATGTTTCTGAAATCCAAAATCTGCCCCAGGTAATTCAGTAGCAGGTAGTTTTTGGACAAGCCTGATGGTCCTAGTCTGTTTGACACATGTGTCATTTCTGATCTAAACACAAATCCCATCACCTCTTTTGTCTGCATTTTACCCTCTTTCCTTACTTAATGCCTCTGGTCTTGCTCGTTTCAGCTTCCCCATGGCCTCCCTCCTTGTGCCCCAGATCTGCAGCAAGAAGCAGAACAGTTGTTTCTGTCATCCCCAGCCTGGCTGCCTCTGCATGGTGTGGAGCACTCAGCCCGGTGAGGAGTCTGGAGGGGCTTTGACTAGGGTGATGGGTCCCTGAAGGAAGCTGGGACAGAGGAAGAAAGAAGACCCAAAAGTTACGTTTCTTCTCTCCAGAAAATGGCAGAGGAAGACGGATCCCTGGTCTCTTCTGGCTGTCCTGGGAGCCCCAGTCCCATCTGACCTACAGGCCCAAAGACACCCAACCACAGGCCAGATACTGGGTTACAAAGAGGTAGGAGGTCAGGGGTCATGAGAAACAGAGCTGGGGAGAAGGGGAGGTGGTCAGAGACAAACAAGCTCAGCCTCATTGGGGCCCTGATCTCTTGCCTCAGGTCTTGCTGGAGAACACAAATCTGTCGGCCACAACCTCCTTGTCTCTTCGCCGACCTCCAGGGCCAGCCTCCCAGTCCTTATGGGGAAATCCAACTCAGTATCCCTTCTGGCCAGGTGACTCTTGTAGAGATGGGATGGTAGAAGAGGGTGTCCTTAATCTCCAGGGAAGGGTTCCCCACCTATCTCGTATTATCCTTATCCCATGAATCCCTATCTATCTTCTCTCTTCCCAGGGGGGATGGATGAACCCACCATAACAGATCTAAGCACACGGGAGGAGGCTGAGGAGGAGATAGACTTTGAGAAAGGTAAGGTGGGGCTCTGAGTCTGAGACCTGAGGAGGAAGAGCTCAGGTGATCGCTGGGCTACTGTTAGCCCTCCCATGCCTTTGAGAAAGTTAGAAAAACGTATCCTTTCTGTAACAACCTTTACTGTCATCTGTTGGGAAATGTCCACAACAACCTTTATTGTCATCTGTTGGGGAAGTGGCATAGGAAAGATTCTCATCTGTAGAATTTGTCCTGTAAATGGTATCCTTTAGGTTTATATAATGTACACAATTTGCTCACCAGTGTGCAGTGACCCTGATTCCATGTCCCTATCCCCCAGATCTTCTTACTGTTCCACCTGGTTTCAAGAAAGGCATGGACTTTGCACCGAAAGGTTAGTTTTGGTTTTCGAGTGGGGTGTAGGAGAAGTTATGTCCTCCTAAGGAACAGAGACGGACGTGACGAGGGTGACCTTTTTGCCTTGCTTCTCAGATCATCTAACTCCAGCTCCCGGATTGCTAAGCCTTAGCTGTCTGTTGGAGCCTCTGGATTTGGGTGAGGGTGACGAGGATGAGAACGAGGCAGTGGGACAGCCAGGAGGTCCCAGAGGGGACGCTGTTTCAGCCTCTCCCTGCCGCGCTCCCCTGGCCCGAGCAAGCAGCTTAGAGGACCTAGTGTTGAAGGTTGGTGGTTCTGCATGATGGAAGCAAGAAAGAGAGCCTTGCCACAGGGACGTGGCCTGGCTAGGGTGGGTCTGAGGGGAAGAAAGGGACATCTTTGGGAGGAGTCATTGTATCGAGAACCCTCTGGTTGTATCTTTATCACTTCTGCCCTGACTCTTCCAGGAAGCGTCCACAGCTGTATCCACCCCGGAGGCCCCCAAGCCTCTGCCTCAGGAGCAGTGGGCCATCCCTGTGGATGCCACCTCCCCTGTTGGTGATTTCTACCGCCTCATTCCCCAGCCGGCCTTCCAGGTACTACAGCCCCATCTTCACACGTTCCTCTGCCTCTTGCTGGATCAGACTTTTGGCCCACCCCTTGTCTCCTCTGTCCACCAGAGGTCACGTCCATCCCAGGCCGGTCTTGGTCCTCAATCCCAGCCTCGGCTGGCTCTGGTCTTCATTCCCCTGCTCCGTGTGCTCCATGAGCAGGAGGCGGGAAGGCCCCTCTCCTTTCTTCAGCTCCCTTCTATTTCTCTATTCCATAGTGGGCATTTGAGCCAGACGTGTTTCAGAAACAGGCCATCTTGCACTTGGAGCGGCATGACTCTGTCTTTGTCGCAGCTCACACATCCGCAGGAAAAACAGTGGTGGCTGAATATGCCATTGCCTTAGCCCAGAAACACATGACACGGTACGAGTCCTCTCACTAACCTCCTCCTTCACCAGCCAGCCCCCATTTCCCCCTGCATCCTTTGAAAATCTCATCTCTTTCCTCCACCTCCCTAGCTCATTCTTTCAGTGAGAGGTTCAGGGATGAGACTGAGACAAGAGCCTGGAGAGAAGTGAGAAGGCATGGTGGGGAGAAAAGTTGGAAGAATGACCTGGGTTAGTTTAGGAAGGGGTTGGGGACAGAATTTGTCTGCGGTTATATCATGAAGGCGAATGTGAGGGCAGTTTGGGTGAAGAAGGGGAACACCTGAGCTTCTGGGGCTTGCTTCCGCAAGGACTCCATGTGGGAGAGGAGGCGCGGGTCATGAGTCTGCGGAGGGCCTGGCTAACCTCACACTCCCTCCCCAGCACCATCTATACTTCGCCCATCAAGGCCCTGAGCAACCAGAAGTTCCGGGATTTCCGAAACACGTTCGGGGATGTGGGGCTGCTCACTGGGGATGTGCAGCTGCATCCGGAGGCCTCCTGCCTCATCATGACCACAGAGATCCTTCGGTGAGAGAGGGAGACACTCAGTACAGGGGAGTTTGGCTAGGAAGATGTGGCTGTTCAGGAGAGTGTGCTGTCGGAGGAGGGGTGGAGACAGGAGCCACTCGGGTCGACCCTTGGCCTCTTCTCCCTAGCTCCATGCTGTACAGCGGCTCAGATGTCATCCGGGACCTGGAGTGGGTCATCTTTGATGAGGTTCACTATATCAACGATGCCGAGGTAAGAGTCATGGGCTCCCCAGATCCCAGCAGTCCTCTCCTTTTGGACCAGTTGAGCAGCTCCTATTCCACACACTCAGGGTACCTGACTGCTTTCTTGACCCCCATACGGAATCCGGTGCCTCTTTAGGGGCAGAAGGGCAGGCTGCACTCCTATGACCTCTCTTCCCTCTCTGTCCCCAGCGTGGGGTCGTATGGGAGGAGGTGCTTATCATGCTTCCTGACCACGTTTCTATCATCCTTCTGAGTGCCACCGTCCCCAACGCCCTTGAGTTTGCTGACTGGATTGGGTGAGATGTGTGTTCCAGGTTGCCTGGGTGAAGGGAGCTGCGGTACCTCTTGGTTGGGGTGGGGGGACTGAGTCTACCACAGCAAGGAGAGCAGGTCAGGCCTTAGGGGTGATTCTGGGGGACATGTCTCACCTGGTGGCTGTGGGATCCCGTTTGGGTCCAGATTACTTTGCACGTTCAGATGGGATGTTGGGGGACAGCCTTCCATTCTGGGTCTCAGAAAAGATGGGAAAGTTGGAGGGGTGGGGAAGCAGGTGGCGATGTGAGTTCCTTCCCACACTCCCACCCCTGACGTGCTGCCCTCTTCTCTCTTAAGGCGACTGAAGCGTCGTCAGATCTATGTGATTAGCACCGTAACCCGCCCTGTGCCCCTGGAGCACTATCTTTTCACGGGGAACAGTCCCAAGACCCAAGGAGAGCTCTTTTTGTTGCTGGACTCCCGAGGAGCCTTCCATACAAAAGGGTAAGCCCAGAGATGGGGGAAAGAGTCAGGGCTGGGCCTCCAGCTGGGCATGACGGCTACCCTTCCCTGTGCCCTAGGTACTATGCAGCTGTGGAGGCCAAGAAGGAGAGAATGAGCAAACATGCCCAGACCTTTGGGGCCAAGCAGCCCACACATCAGGGGGGCCCTGCACAGGTGAGAACTGGGAGGGTTTTGTACCTGCCAGCACCTGTTTTTCCTCCATCTTTTTTTCCTTGTCCGCCAGGGGTTTTTGACTTGAGCTTTGAGCACTGCCCAGTTAACACTAGTTCATCTCCCATTGGTTCAGGAACTCAACCTCTGCCCCTTCCCCTTCCCCTTCCTTCCCCAGGACCGCGGGGTGTACCTGTCCCTCCTGGCCTCCCTCCGCACACGTGCCCAGTTGCCTGTGGTGGTGTTCACCTTCTCCCGGGGCCGCTGTGATGAGCAGGCCTCGGGCCTCACCTCCCTTGACCTCACCACCAGTTCAGAGAAGAGTGAGATCCACCTCTTCCTGCAGCGCTGCCTTGCTCGCCTCCGTGG